CAAATAAAACACCGCGAAGCGTCTCTACGACACGAATTAGTCGCGCAAAAAATCATACTTTAACACACACACACTACGCGCGTAGATTTTAAAATAAAAACGAGTAATCGCGGTCAAACACGCCGGGTTTAAAAAAAAATAATTGAAAACGTTTTTTAACGCGAGCGCCCGGCTCTTTGCCGCCATTTCGCGATGTTTAATGTCTTTAATGACGCCGATAAAACCCACGAGAAATAACCACGCGTTTAATAAATAACACGCACGTGTGTACGCCCTCCCCTGCGAAACAATTAACGCTGGAAAATACGTGAACTCATTAAGAAAAAAGAACACAATTTAGCGGCACCGCGTGAAATTAACTCGTGGCGGCGTGAAATGCGGCGTCGTGTGCGATGCTGTCGAGCCGGATTCTATTCCTGATCACGGCCACCAACATCCCAGTGAATATTATCCTGAATCGGGCATGGCACACCCCCCCCTAGGTAGACTCGGCCTCAAATCAAATGAGTACCTGGTGTAAAAAAAACATCGCCACTGAGGGTGGTGGGGGGGGGGGGGAAGACAAAGGCGGCCGGGCGTGGTGTTGGCCACCCAGCCCCCCTCGTGTGCCACAGTTCCCGGCCTTCATCGGCGTTTGCTAACAGAGCTTGACCCAGCAAGTTACAATATATACGGTGAGGGGGGGGGGGTCTCTGCATTACAAGGCCAGCAGTAGAGGAGAGCGTGGGGATAGTGGGCAGGAAGGGGTCATTGATATGAAGCAGTGGGGTCATTGATATGAAGCAGTGGGGTCATTGATATGAAACAGTGGGGGTCATTGATATGAAGCAGTGGGGGTCATTGATATGAAGCAGTGGGGTCATTGATACAAAACAGTGGGAGTCATTGATATGAAGCAGTGGGGGTCATTGATAGGAAGCAGTGGGGGTCATTGATATAAAGCGGTGGGGTCATTGATATGAAGCAGTGGGGGTCATTGATATGAAGCGGTGGGGTCATTGATATGAAGCAGTGGGGGTCATTGATATGAAGCAGTGGGGGTCATTGATATAAAACAGTGGGGGTCATTGATATGAAGCAGTGGGGGTCATTGATATGAAGCAGTGGGGGTCATTGATATAAAACAGTGGGGGTCATTGATATAAAGCAATGGGGGTCATTGATATAAAACAGTGGGGGTCATTGATATGAAGCAGTGGGGGTCATTGATATAAATCAGTGGGGGTCATTGATATAAAGCAGTGGGGGTCATTGATATGAAGCAGTGGGGGTCATTGATATAAAACAGTGGGGGTCATTGATATGAAGCAGTGGGGGTCATTGATATGAAGCAGTGGGGGTCATTGATATAAAACAGTGGGGGTCATTGATATGAAGCAGTGGGGGTCATTGATATAAAACAGTGGGGGTCATTGATATAAAACAGTGGGGGTCATTGATATGAAGCGGTGGGGGTCATTGATATGAAACAGTGGGGGTCATTGATATAAAACAGTGGGGGTCATTGATATGAAGCAGTGGGGGTCATTGATATAAAACAGTGGGGGTCATTGATATGAAACAGTGGGGGTCATTGATATAAAACAGTGGGGGTCATTGATATAAAGCAGTGGGGGTCATTGATATAAAGCAGTGGGGGTCATTGATATGAAGCAGTGGGGGTCATTGATATGAAGCAGTGGGGGTCATTGATATAAAGCAGTGGGGGTCATTGATATGAAGCAGTGGGGGTCATTGATATGAAGCAGTGGGGGTCATTGATATGAAGCAGTGGGGGTCATTGATATGAAGCAGTGGGGGTCATTGATATAAAACAGTGGGGGTCATTGATATGAAGCAGTGGGGGTCATTGATATAAATCAGTGGGGTCATTGATATAAAGCAGTGGGGGTCATTGATATGAAGCAGTGGGGGTCATTGATATAAAACAGTGGGGGTCATTGATATGAAGCAGTGGGGGTCATTGATATAAAACAGTGGGGGTCATTGATATAAAGCAGGGGGGTCATTGATATGAAGCAGTGGGGGTCATTGATATAAAACAGTGGGGGTCATTGATATGAAGCAGTGGGGGTCATTGATATAAAACAGTGGGGGTCATTGATATGAAGCAGTGGGGGTCATTGATATGAAACAGTGGGGGTCATTGATATGAAACAGTGGGGGTCATTGATATGAAACAGTGGGGGTCATTGATATGAAGCAGTGGGGGTCATTGATATAAAACAGTGGGGGTCATTGATATGAAGCAGTGGGGGTCATTGATATGAAGCAGTGGGGGTCATTGATATAAAACAGTGGGGGTCATTGATATAAAGCAGGGGGGTCATTGATATGAAGCAGTGGGGGTCATTGATATGAAACAGTGGGGGTCATTGATATAATCAATGGGGGTCATTGATATAAATCAATGGGGGTCATTGATATAAAACAGCGGGAGTCATTGATATAAAACAGTGGGGGTCATTGATATAAATCAATGGGGGTCATTGATATAAAACAGTGGGGTCATTGATATAAAACAGTGGGGGTCATTGATATAAAGCAGTGGGGGTCATTGATATAAATCAATGGGGGTCATTGATATAAAACAGTGGGGGTCATTAGTATATAAAGCAGTGGGGGTCATTGATATAAATCAGTGGGGGTCATTGATATAAAACAGTGGGGGTCATTGATATAAAACAGTGGGGGTCATTGATATAAATCAATGGGGGTCATTGATATAAAACAGTGGGGGTCATTGATATAAAGCAGTGGGGGTCATTGAAATAAATCAGTGGGGGTCATTGATATAAAACAGTGGGAGTCATTGATATAAAACAGTGGGGGTCGTTGATATAAAACAGTGGGGGCCATTGATATAAATCAGTGGGGGTCATTGATATAAAACAGTGGGGGTCGTTGATATAAAACAGTGGGGGTCATTGATATAAAGCAGTGGGGGTCATTGATATAAACAGTGGGGGTCATTGATATAAATCAATGGGGGTCATTGATATAAAACAGTGGGGGTCATTGATATAAAGCAGTGGGGGTCATTGATATAAATCAGTGGGGGTCATTGATATAAATCAGTGGGGGTCATTGATATGAAGCAGTGGGGGTCATTGAGAGAGACACGGCAGAGGAAGCCACCGAGGAGATGTCGAGCAGCGAGAGGAACCCTTCGATGGGGGAGACAAGGCCCCCCAAAAAACGCCACCCACGGCCATGTATGGAGGGCCCTCCCGGGTGTTGCAAGGATCGAGTTTAACAGTCCTAAGCTTTATTTAGCTTGCGTGCAAACTACGCGCGGATTATATTGATATAAATACATGCCAACCCCCATCCGTGGTGGGTACGTGCGTGGAAATCCATTGCAGTGGACGTTTCTGGGTGCGAAAATAACGCCAAACCAAATCCGCCACGGTGTTATGAGTGGGTTCACTGAAATCAATTAACTGCTGAATGGCCTCTCCACATGTCGTGGGCGTTACAGTATTTGATGGTGGAGGAGGGAATAATTTACGGGCGCATAGTTCAGTACCGTACAACAATGGGATATGGCTGCACTGCCCTCTGCTGCATGCCCAGAGAAATACACTTTTTTCGTCTCAACGCGTTTAAACCACCGTTCCAATGAGCACCATCCCATCCATGTATAAATGTACAAAAATGTGACCTTTCAACAAACCCGTCCTATTCACGATTAGGATAGCAAGAAAAAAATCATGCATGGATTCTGTAACACGTTCGAACACGCGTGTGTGCTTAAAATAATGTGTTTCATGTCATTAATGCATAACACTGGGCGCTTTTGACATGGATTAGGGAGGGACATGGACATTCACAAACAAATTTAAAGTGCTAAAAGGCATGGGGAAGTGCACACCGACACTATATAAGCACAGAGAACAACTGCAAGTTAATTTGCACCACTGGAAGCCTCAAACAGTGGATAGAGTATGACAAAGATGATAACAAAAAAAAGGTTCCTATGCATTATTGGGATTTTAGAGACATAAATAGGAACACATGGACTCGGAAACTCAATTCATAAGCATTTTATTGGTCTTCATCAAACAATAGATAGATCATGATGGGTAACTTAGGCATAACCCAGTCTTGCCTATGGAGTTGTGAAGACCTGGGTAGGGGAATCAGGCGAGGAAGGCCCATCCCTTGGGGGCACGAGACATCAACTTTATTTTTAAACGAATTGGTTAATTATAAACTAGCTTTTACGTCACACGTAAAGAGGTGGTCGTTAACATGCGATAACGTCATCTTGTTTAAAAACAAATGAAAAAAGGGAAAGTTTTTAAACCAGATTGAAAGACTATGGACATCATCAAAGAAGTTGGGACCATTGAAACAATTAGGGGACCTGATAATTGTTTTTTTACCCTTTTATCTGGCAACAAAACTGACACCTTTTTTACGAGGAGTCATGTTTGCATAGACCACAATACCTGCAGTCATAATGCAAACAAAAAACACAACTCTGATAATGTATGCACTGTCCTTGACAGTTTTGTTTGCATTATGACTGCATGTATTGTGGTCTATGCAAACATGACTCCTCGTAAGAAAGGTGTCAGTTTTGTTGCCAGATAAAAGGGTAAAAAAACAATTATCATATTTTTTACTGGCAAATGAGGTACCAATCGTGTGAATTAGGGGACCTATTTCACTTCACGTTTACACATAAATGGGCCAATTGTTTAAATTCTATACCGTTTTGGCAGGGGCCAATTCTATACAAGACAAAGATTGTTGGTTCGCAACAGTGGCTGAGTCGACTCAGCTTTCGTGACTGCCACTTTCTTAAATTTTTCTTGCTGTGGATTTCACACCTGATGATGATTGCTTGTGTTGCAGTCGAAACGTCGTGAGAATTTTATTGTTTTATATTTTAATTATTGTATTATTTCCCTTCTACGTGACTTTACCGAAAGAACCAAGAATATAGTTATATTATTGCTAACACTTGTTTGAAAATCTATTATTGCGTGTAGGAGTGGGGGAGTGGACATCCCATAATGCACCATGTGGTGGCACCACAGGGACTCTCCTCACCATCATACCCCTGACTCCACACAGGTGCGTATTTCTCTCCACCCATCACCACTTACCACATCGTTGCACGTTACCAACAATGTTTAACATCAAAACCATTTACACAAATAATTGTGAAAATGCACCGCAGCCATTATCATCTTCACCACTACTTGCAACCATTGCCACCAAAGCCAACAATCAAAATTATCATCATAAACACTTAAAACATCATCATATTCAGCACCATCATTATGACCATCACTGACTTGGCCAACACTTAAGAAAAGTAAGTTATCTTGGGCAGGAAACATCGCTGGAAGGGATGACAGCCAATTGCTGGGGTTTAATGATGGAGCAGCAGCCAAATGAGGGAATACGCCAGAGCAGATTTCTAACACGGAGATGGAGTGATGAATTTAGGTCGTCTACAGAACTGTTCAAATACGATACCGTGAGAGACGGCTGGTGCTTGGGGAGGCCTTCTTGCAACAGTGGATAGATCATGATTGCTGTTCATGAAGATGAAGCTTTAAACTCGTGTCCGACAGCCTAGGACACCATGTCGCTCAACGGTTCCCACCTGTGTTACACGTTCCTTAGGGGTACACGTAATGTCTCTTGTGGGATTAGCAAGCAGGCCTGCTTTGCATGTATGCACTAGTAATTATACATATATATATATACTTATCTGTTGTGTGACATTTAGTGAATTGTGCGTTTAGGCACCTTATTCATCCACGTGGTCTATAATTTTTTTTTCTTAAATAAAAAAAATGTAACGTCTGGTATTTGATTAAACATAAAACTTTCTGCTGGTAGGGGAACACGGATAGTCTATTGGTCTGGTAGGTGGGACACGACATGAAAAATGTTAGAAACCTCTGGTCTCCGGTTAACAGAAGGTGCTTATCTACAATAGCATAGCAGCAATTAGTTTTTTGTTAATCTTTCACAAGAGTGAAACATTTGGCAGGACATTTTGAACAATGAGAAAATTCACAAAATGGCCTTTACCCACAAACAAATATGGATCATATAGATCAGGGCAGCAGATCTATCTATACTTCACTCAAGTCAAGAAAACCAACCAACGTGTGTTGCCATACCCGAATTAGTACCGGACGATGGATTGTGACTGAATCAGGCTGTTGTGATGCACATGCCCTCTGTTGGTGTTTGCAATGCATTGTGGGTTTACCCACGAGGCCGTGCACGTGCTACATTCCGGGCTGTGACTGCTAAGAGCTGCGGTTCCGTGTGCTGCGGGGGCTGCAGTTGTCGTCGGAGGGACCGGGGCCGCAGGGGGGAGCGGTTGGCGATGCCCTGACGCCCTCCGCGGGGCCCGGAGGGGGCGGCGGGGCTGGTGGAGACACCCAGGCCCAGCTCGAGGCCGATAAGCGCGCGGTCTACAGGTACTGGCACGTCCCGTACCAATCTGGATTTCTGTTGGAATTATATAACCTCTTCTTGGTTCTTTCGGTAAAGTCACGTAGAAGGAAAATAATTTCGGCCACAACGCAAGCAGCCGTCTTCAGGTGGAGAACAGGTCTGTCAGACTCTGCCTTCTCGACAGCCCTGTTCTCCACCTGAAGACGGCTGCTTGCGTTGTGGCCGAAACGTCGTGAGAATGATTTTATTATGTTTTATTTTTATTATTTTATTATTTTTTTTCTACGTGACTTTACCGAAAGAACCAAGAAGATGAATCCCTGCAGTCACGAAAGCTTCAAATCGAAATTATATAACCTGTTATTCTCCTCACTGAATAGGAGTGATCTTGATGATCGTGTAGATATTGCAGGTTTTTATTGTGAGGATGATTGAGTTTATATGAATGAGATAATTGTGTTGGTGTTTATGGTGGTGTAATAGATGTTTATGGTAGTGAAAAATTAGTAACACTACTCATCAACAACACTACTTGAAAAAAATGTAATGGGTGATGTTTGGGCCAGTGGCCCTTCTTCATAGCACATACACAGAGAGGCCAGATAGATAAACGGGTTTGATGAGATTGTTTTTCTAATGACCAACTTTTAAATATGCATAGAAATAGTGATGGTGTTGATTGGAATTGTGCTAAGCACTCGTAATGGTGGTGTTGATGGTCGTGGTGTTGGTAGTTAATGGATTGATGGTTCCTTTTTGTGATGTTGGTAATATCGATGTTGACAGTATTGATATTTCTGGTGTCGTTGGTGTTAATATGGGGAGTGGTTGGGGAGTGATTAACATACTTTGAAATAAAACCACCTCATTGGGTTAGATTCCGAGCCATGGATTAAATCGGTTTACATAAGGAACTGGTTCGGGCCTGGGCCTCCCCTATGCGCTCTATAACCCTGGGGAGACACAGGTGCCTGTGGTGTAGTTCTGGTGATGACATCCACACACTTTGCAAGCCTTTATCGTTGCTGTCTAACGGCACTGCACCAACAGTGGTTGCTGATGTTTGTATTGATGATGGTGACCGTGTCAGTGGTGATGTGACCGATGTCAGTTTTTGATGGCGGTGGTGATGGTGTTGATGTTGCGCAGGCATCCCTTGTTCCCATTGCTGGCTCTCCTCTTTGAGCGCTGTGAAGAGGCCACACTGGGCTCCGACTCCGTGAGCTCCGCTGGATTCGATCTCGACATTGAGGGTTTCGTGCAGCGGCAGGAGAGCGAGCGCAAGCCATTCTTCAGCGACGAGCCAGAGATAGACAACCTGGCAAGTCTATGTCTATGCACACACACACAAGGCCGGGATTAAACTGTGTTCTCAATAGGCGTATGTTGAACTTCTTAAGTATCAGCCCAATTATCAATGACTGTACAAAAACAAAAACATTTTCACTTTATTGGGGTTTTTCCAGCACTCAGAATGAAACATTCAGAATGATTGATATGCAACGAACAGTCTTTCGAGGACATATACAAGGTGTGCCCCTAGTGTTGATAAGCCCATTTCAGTGACTGCACAAGTAGTTTTTTTGATACCATCTTCTTGAAGTTAATCTCTGACACAGGGTGGTGCCCCGCTAGCTGCCGAGTTTTAAATGTAAACTTCTTTATCTTGTGACACGGTGACGAGAGCACAATCGGAATGTATCTGGTGAAAACAAACAATATAATAACGATAACAACCCTGCATGTGCCAGATGGTGAAAGCGATCCAAGTGCTGCGTATTCACCTGCTGGAGTTGGAGAAGGTGAGCGATCTGTGCAAGGATTTCTGCAGCCGCTACATCACCTGCCTCAAGAGCAAGATGCATTCGGACAACCTCCTTCGCTCGGACGTGGGGCCCAGCAACTCCTATCTGGGGGAGCCCGTACGACAACCCTCAAGCCACAACTTCAAACAATACAACACCAATGCAGCTGCATCATAGCTTCGGCATAATTTCATCAAAAACATCACCATACTAATGCCATGTTGTAGGGTGCTCCTGAAAGTTAAACGCACCACAAACGTGTGCCCGGTGTTAATTAAGTTTTGCAAATTTGGCCATATACACCTACCGAATTACAAGACACACCCTAAAATTGTATTTAGTAGGCCAAACATCCCCAAACCAGGATCCTCCTGAAGAATAATCTATATAATGTGTGGTTTTCTGCAAATGACATTGGTAAAACAATCTGTATCACAATTCCAACATCACCTTCATATCCATAACGTCACCAGCATGTCAACATTGTAACATCAGCATAACAATATAATAATTCTTAATATTGATGTAAAGATAATATTAGCACAACACGAATTTAAACATTATAACTCCAACACCATAGCCTCAGAAGATCAGTGTCACTACTACCTCACCATCATTAAATTAGCATTCTGATAAAATCATCACAACGTTACCTTCAACATTGCAGTACCAGCATAAAATTCACAACAACATCACCATATGAAAATCATGTGAATATATAACTGCATCGGCATCACAATATTAGCAGCACAATCATATCACCATCACATCATTATGACGTTCCCGTCACAACAGACACATAGACATCACCCCTCACAGATGTGATCCGTCATGAATATGAATTATTTTGCACCTATGATCCCCCACGCTCCTCTGTGAATTGACCAAGCAGGCGCTGGGCCTGACATCGGGTGACGCAGTTGCTGTAGTGAGCGTTCCTGCCCCTTCGGTTGCTGTGGCAACACTACAGTCAGCACAGGTGCTAACAGGTAACGCCCGGTCATGATGACGTCAGGTATGATTCACGGGTTTTGCGGGGAGCTGTTCAAGCCTAGCGGATTGTTCTGTCAAGGAGAAGTTGATGGAAACGGAGGACAGAGCACTCCCCCAGGCTTCAAAGGCCTTCCACTACCTTGTGAATCACATCCATAGTCTGCCGTAATAATAACAACACACCCCATTATAAGAACAGGACATTCTGCTTTAGCAGCACGGCCAATTAAACTTGAATACAGGAATGATGTGCAATGTAATGACATAATTTAATAACACGCTATGACGGAACACCTCATTATAACGAGCCGAGAGAACACAAAGACGCTAGCCTGATCTCACGACACATTCATATTTCACACTTGATGTATCGTTACGCAAAGATAAGAGGCATGTTTTAAACAAGTAATAATGCTGTAACCTATGTCAGTGCAATATCATGAATATGTACTTAATCTCGACTCACCTGCCATCCCAAATCAGTCTCTCAATACGAGCGTCGTTCGGTGGAGTTGAAGCATAAATTATCCTACGACTTCTGTCATCGTCACAGATGTGTTCACGTCATTATTGCAGTCATTCCACCCATTTTTAAATGTTGCCATGAGTCATGCAGTTGTCACCATGCTGCGTATTATTCTTCGATACATTTCTATTGTTTTTAACAGTGAATAACAGCTTGCTGCTCTTATATTGCACGGGTGTGCAAGGGCACAGCCATCTTGCATCACGTGACATATCGGTCTTCTTGCGGCAATTCTGGAAGGGTTGTGCCCCATTCACGACACATTATTTACCACAATCACACTGACATAGGTTACTGTGTTAGAAATCTCTATTGGAACACCTTCGTATGAATGTATACTCGATTTAGAACGCTTTTCGTAAAAGACTTCATAAAACAAAAATTGTAATGATCATGGTTGATATTGTTTTGGTTATTTCTTTTATTATGCCCTTATAATGACTGGTGTTGTGTTATTGTCGTGGCTATTGTTTTTGTTTGTTGTGTCGTCATAATGACCGTGTTGTTGACCATTGCCAGGAGGCACCATCTATCAGCCAGTTACCATGGTGACCCCACACGGTCAGGTGGTTGCCCAGGCAATGACACAAGCAACCACCGCGACCGCCCTGCAGATCCATGGGGCACAGGTGAGACTCGCGTTAGAAGCCCATGCTGCGGTGTGCAGTGGCAACGTCACCGGATTTCCCGGCTACGCTGCTCTGTGCATCATGGTGGCGAGATGTGAACTACCTCGCCTGGTATACAGGAGGTCGTGGATTCAATCCCAACCCTGACGTCTGCTGTATATTTGGAGTTTCCACGTTCTCCCTGTGGTCGCGTGGATTTTCTCCAGGTCCTCTCCCTCCGTATTTAAAATCAACATGCGTTTCGTGTATTTGGCTGCTATTAATGTCCACATGATGAAAACAACTTCATTGAGCTATAATTTGTGGCCAAGTCGCTTCTGAAAAAGAGCTATATAGCTCAGTGGGCCTTACCTGGTAAAATAATAATAAAGTAACATCCGCACTATTGTGTATAACGGCCCACGGGGAGCATAAATCTCACAACTTCCTGAATGCAGCCTGCAGCCACATTACACCCACTGCTTCGACAAGGTCCACAAATATTCATTCGTCAATCCAAGCATTTTAGCAGCACTAATTGGGTACAAGAGGGACACGTTTTTCACCTGGTAATACTGCTTTTATAATTTTAGTGGGCTCACTCACTTATGTCACTAAAAGGGTCTCTTTGTACCCGATGGACCCGTACGTTATTTTTGTGTTATTTTGGATGATGCGAAGGTGTGTTTTAGCCAAAGTTATTTGACAATATCATTTGGCTCTCAGTACGGAAAACTCAAGTTTAGTTTTTAACCAGGTGAAGAACTTAAGGGATCAAGATAGTGTCATTTGCAAGATTTACCCAGGCCACCAAAATGACAAAAAATGTTCCCCTCCCATGGTGTGTAATGTCATCATATAAACTATTCAGTTTATCCCATATAAAGTATGTGTAACTGCTATGTTTCTGTACGCTGGTCATGTTTCCATGAATGATGTGTGTATGGTGTGTGTTGTGTCTCCAGTCCGTCGTATCGTCTCCCTGTGTCATCAGTGGGATCTGCACCACATCTCACCTGCAGGCTGACAACATGGGGGGCACGCACCTGGGACAGGTAACTCAGGGACACGCCGAGACACTGATGGAGACACAGACACATGGGCAGGGGGACGGGCACACACAATGCCTTTGAGAGACATGTAAAGACACGGGGAGAGGAGGGCACATCGGATGGACATAAGAGACACATGGGACAAGAAAGACATCGGAAACAGGAACACAGGATGATGGAGACATGGGGACATAAGCACGTGGACATAAGGATGCAGAGCTGTGCAGATGAGAGATAGGGTGGTGCATTTAGAGACCTAGGTCATGGTAACGCAGAGACATGCAGATCAATGAAGATATGTGAGGATATGGGGTCTTGGTCTATACGGTGTTCATTTACGCATGTCCCTGTTATATAAGTGTGTGATTATACGTGCAATGATATGGATTGTGATGCACAACACCGCTAGCAATGGGAATCAGAATATGTCGTCAGCTTCCCTCAGGATGCACATTTACAGCCAGTTTTTGTCAAATCACTGCTGGATAAGGGTCTTCCCACGCCCTGCCAGCTGTGAGAGATATTTGACCATATTTCACCGTGGTAGTCAGTGTGAGTTAGTGTGGAACATCAACGGACTCCTCTGCACTGCCCACAATGTCTATTACACCTGGCTTATACGCATAATGGTCACCCATCCAAGCATCATGCCGACTCATACCAGCTTGGCTTGCGGTATTTGACAAGATCAGGCATCATTCCAGGTGAATTGGTCTGGTGTGGTATGTAAACATCAGCACTGGAGACAGCTTGCGAAAGGGAGTGGTTCTGACCACACCATCCCCTTGTGTGCCTTGCCAATTTTAATAAGTGCTTGCTAACTGTACTTACCCCAACAGTCCATGAATGCTATACAGGGGATCTTTGTATTTTTTGTCCTTGCACATGTGGGTATATGTATGGGGATTGATGGCACAGTGATGAGCACACTGCACTACAAACAACAGAACTGGGGAGACAAAGGTGTACAGACCTGTGCTGGATACACCACCCGTTTTGGTCACCATGTCGGCCTTACTCATCGCTTGGTAACAGCACTTGCTCCAACAACCTGTTAGAGGCATACGGAGAATCTTTGTCTTTGTATGTATGCACATGCACGTTTCCATACTGATAACTCTGTGTGTGTATGTTAGGACATCTCGTCGTGTGACCCGGATGACAAGCGCGCTCGTCTCAAACGTGGCGTGCTGCCCAAACACGCGACCACCGTCATGCGCTCCTGGCTCTTCCAACACATTGTGGTGGGTACAGCCATGGGTGCCGCCCAATTGGAGATGGAGTCGCATGACTTTTGCAATCTCAAATTTACACTTGCACCACCCCATTCGCCTGCAGTCAGGATTTATCAGCTACAGTCTCCGTGCAGCTGCAGAGATTGGTTGATCAGCTGGCATCAAAGTACACCCAAAAGATTAGTTGACTGATCTATATAGTGGAGACTTGGGTGTAGAATGTGCCACTCAACCAGATATGGTTTGCATATGTGTATGTTGGTTATATTAGTGCTGCTTCAGTGAGGTTCATAAACTAAAGAATAAATCAATTCTGCAAAATTTTGGTGGACCAAGCCATGACGAAATTCATTATAGGCAGTTAAGAGTATGGAAAACATCGATATTCTTCAGTGAGCTATGCCCAGCTACAGACTGCTAAGAACACCCATCATGTTGGAGGCGATGACACAACAGCTTAGTTATGGGGCCCTTGAGAGTCGCAGCAGTGTGCAGAATGATATTACATTAGGTTAATGTCGTATCAGTTAATTTAATCAACAAAAATAAATGTAAATGGTATGTTTGACACGTGTATGATAAAACATCCCTGTGCTCCCCTGGAAAAGTATGGTAGCAATAAAAAATAGGGAAATAATAAAAGTACAATCAATTCATTGTCCTATGGCTTTCTTCCACATTCAGGTTTACAGCAGTTTTTGCCATTGGTGTCATGGTTAGCACACCACACAACAATCCAGGAGATTGCTGGCCATACACAACAACAGTGGAAATTTGTATCTGAACACAAGTGGTTTCCCCTAGATCGATACATATTAGCTGGTATGGTTTTGAATGTCAGTGCTGGGGGTACAGGGGCAGCTTGGGAAATGATGTTCACCACACCCTCTGTTATTTGCTGTGCTGGTCTGAGAAGGTTTTCGTCAACAAAACTTTCCCCTGCCATCTGTACGTCTTATTGGGGGATCTTTGTATTTACCATACATATTTGTGTGTACCGTGTATGCGTGCAGCACCCGTATCCAACAGAAGATGAGAAGAGACAAATCGCCAACCAGACCAACCTAACCCTTCTGCAGGTCAATAACTGGTGAGATCATTTCAAAAAATGCTTGCTATAAACATGCCACTTCAAGTCACTTAACATAGCCACGGCCCTAAACCTAGCACTGTTTATAATCCCTGAGAGAAAACTGCATTAGTATTGTGGAATTCCATCACTGGCTCAGGACCAACAACAGGAACAAGTGCTGTTCAGCACTCTTAAGAGTACTGGGGTAATGGAAATGCAATCTGTGTGAGGGTGTTTCAGATAAAACATGTTTGGCTTTATTACAGTCATCACACCCACTTTAATGTGGCTATCCCTTTAATGTGGGTATGTCTTTAATGTGGTTATCACTTTAATGAGGGTATCACTTTAATGTGGTTATCCCTTTAAATGAGGGTATCCCTTTAATGTAGGTATATCTTTATTGTAGGTATGTTTTTAATGTGGGTATGTATTTAATGTGGTTATCACTTTAATGTATGTATGCCTTTAATGTAGGTATGCCTTTAATGTAGGTATGTCTTTAATGAGGGTATATCTTTAATGTGGTTATCACTTTAATGTGGTTATCCCTTTAATGAGGGTATCCCTTTAATGTAGGTATGTCTTTAATGTAGGTATGTTTTTAATGTGGGTATGCCTTTAATGTAGGTATGCCTTTAATGTAGGTATGCCTTTAATGTAGGTATGCCTTTAATGTGGGTATGTATTTAATGTGGTTATCACTTTAATGAGGGTATCCCTTTAATGTAGGTAGGTCTTTAATGTAGGTATGTCTTTAATGTGGGTATGTCTTTAATATGGATGCATGGGGGCATCTATGCCGCAGGTTCATAAACGCGCGGCGCCGCATCCTGCAGCCAATGCTCGACGCGAGCAACCCTGACCCTTCCCCCCGCGCCGCCCGCAAACTCAAGGCTGCACCCCGACCCAGCTCCCAGCGCTTCTGGCCGGATTCCCTGGGTGCTCGAGCACCGCCCGGGGACACGGGGGAACACGGGGACACGGGTGACGGACACGGGGACATGGGTGGGGACGGGGATGCACGGACACACGGGGACGGCACGGAGCATGAGGACGGTGAGGCTTGGGCAGGTGGGAGCAGGAGAGGAACGGGAGAATGTACGGAGGGATGGAAGGAGAAAGGGAGCTGTAGAGGACGAGAAGTAGAATCGAGGACAGTCAGAGTAGGAGAGAAGAGAGTGAATTGATGAAGGATGGAGAAGGACGGATGTATTCATCATGAGGATATGTGTGTATGAGGGTGGATGGGCACATGCTGGCCTCTACCGCTGATGTGCCATCTTGCCCTTACTAGGATTGATTACACCACTCGTCCCAAGGGTTTACAAGGCTAAACATAGATAATTATCTTTGTCAATATAGTTGTACGTGTCAGTGTTTCAATGTGTGTAATTCCTACTCTGTGGGCCACAGCTTGGGATCGGAAGATTGTGAGTTTGAATCCCAGTCAGGGTTCAGCTTAACCCAATATTGTTCTGGGGTAGATAAAATTAGTACTACTTTGTGAGATGTCAACAGCGGTTGCCCTGTGGATTCACAGATTACAGCTAGAGGAATGTGGAATTTTAACTTGTGGCTCAGGGCTGTGAATGGAGATGAGCAATGTTCAATGGCCATTTGTGGAGGCACTGCTTTTTGGTGTTTTTAAGATATGTATAAGTCTGGCTTAATGAGCAGTTTTAGCTGCACCCTACTTTCATATTACCAATATGGTGTAACTTCGATAAAGTCATGTTTGTCTGCGAGAAGTAAACTTTAGCCGCTGCAGGATAATATTCTCCAAGCATAGTGGATTGGGGCAAGGGAGATGTTGTATGTGAGAGTCTGTATCTTGGAGACGCAAGAAGAGGTAAGAGACAGACACAGGAGGAGAGAGGTGTATTAAAGAGCAATACATGAAAAGGAGGGAATTATTTATTCGTGAAATGTTTTTGGTTGCAGGTGATGTTGTCAATATTTGTAATGGTGATGATGGGAAGTGATATGATAGTTGTTTAAATAAATAAATACTTGCTTCCTACCCCCATTAGTTAAACTCTAATCCCTCTGACCTTTCAATGCCCCCCCCCTGGCACCCAACTGCCATGCCCTCTGAATTTTAGCCTGTGAGTTTTGTGACCATTTCACGCGTAATGCTGTGTAATTTCTAATCCCTGACCCTGTGACTCCCCCACTTCTTTGCCCTGTGACCCCGCCCTGTGCCCTTTGCGCTCAAGACGGCTGCCTCTCAGACCCGCTCAACACTCTGAGCTCGGACAGTGCAACCCTCGCCGTGCGCCGCGTTATTGTGGGGCATTTATCGGACGACGGCAAACCTGGCGCCTCCAACGACCACGGCCACGCGGAAGACGACCAGGAGGAGGATGAGGATGAAGAGGAAGAAGACGGAGATGAAGAAAACATCGAAGACGAGGAGGAGGAAGAGGACGAGGAGGAGAATGGGATGTCCCAGCGGAGTGAGTCTGGCCTGGCCCTGAATCCCGGAGACTGACTTCACCCCGTGTCACCTCCTCGCCGTCCCTCCCCCTCCTCCATCGGCCATCCCCGGGGTTCATTAAAAACTACACAGACTTGATTCTCAGGACATCTGTCTATAAAACAAAGCAGTTTTCTGCGGGCTTCAATTTGCACCGCAACTGACTTTAGACGGATGGCCGAGTTTGCTGTGCGGTTTTGCGCGCCAGCCGCTGGGCCGCTCTGCGTGGAGTCAGGAGTGTAATTCCTGCTGCCGGCCCAGTAATTTCCACAGGGAATTACAATCGTCAACCAAAGTGCGCCGTTTGCCGTAAAGTGGACGTTAAAGACAGTGTGACTTTGTTCACACAATTAGGACATTGTTTGTCAGAATAGCCTGAGTTGCAAGTTTGAAAATTACCTGAAAATGATTTGTATACCTGTGTAACTACAGTTATTAATGTCTCATTTGCAAGAGATAATCTCAGTGGGCTCTTGTCTGTTTGGACACATAATGTTGATTTTCATATATTTTTCGGCAGTTAAGGTTTGGATAGAAAGCCAGGGCAGAAGTCTAAGTGTTTATTTAATCAATTTAAATGTGTGTGGATTTTACATTTTACATTTTCATAGAAAATGTAAGCTGGAGCCACGGGGATTCTAAATCCCGGGGTATAGTGGCATCCACGATCTCTACACATTTGTGCAGAAAGAGAGGGTGAAAGCTGGCGAATTAGAATTTGGGAGTGGAGAGAATTTAAGAGACGGAGAGTCAGAGAGCGGAGAGTGGATGGCAATTTAATGAGGGAGAAAGGGAGAAAAGTAAGAGTGGTGAGGGAGGAGAAACAATTGAAAAGTAGGATACTGTGGAGAGAGAGAGAGGGAATAGAAGGATGTCTTACGAAAGAGGGAACAGACAAAGTTGTTCCTACAGCATCAAAGAGCTGGTGACTTGCAAGAGAGGCTTGTCCATCGGACGCGACTACCACTTTCACAAGGAACGGTCCGAGAGCGAACGTTTCCTTAGACACCAAGAGCAGGAAATAGACGATGTGAAATGAATACTTCTATGAAACATCCACAAGCAAAGCCAACAGACAGCTCGAGCCAAAACTGAGAGATGTGAGGTTTGAGTGGCTCACGGAACTCACTAATGGTCATGCAAGAACGTTGAGGTTACGCTGCTGATATTCTCCATTGGACTCCCAGGTGCACACCCAAGACTAAGTCATGTTCTCTTTAATGGTATCTGCCTGATCACTTTAGACTGCACGAAAAAAAATGAAAAATCATACATATGCATAGTGGACTCTGATGCTTTCCAACAATGAGGTCAATTGAGGTCAATTGAGGCCTCGTGCACCCGGGGCCATGATCAGTGAGTAACTTCATCAGCCGTGGCGTATGACGTTATGCATCGGTTAGAGGACTGTGTAATTAACTATGAGAAATTGAATGAACAAGTTTGGCCAATCATTGGATACATTTGCCCAGTCTATATAGTCTTAATAGCGACACAACTTTATAATAACCCCTTATTTACACAATATCATCCTTACAAATTATTGTGGACCCCCCTTTACAGACGGACGGAGTGAATGCATTTATGTAATTCTAAAAACCTGCATCATACACATGGTGATACAATTCTTAAGGCATCATTTTAAAACGAAAAGGAGCGAGATGAATTTGTACCGTTCTCTCTTCTTCCTTTGTGTATGAGTGCAAGTGAAGACTGCTTTAGCGTGGCCAACATGGAAGCCTTACACCACGTTTGTATGAACTTCGGAATTCTATTACACACTCGAGTTTCCCCCCCACCATCCCGTTTCCTTGTTTTTAGACAACTCAAAATTCTTCTAACACAATTTCGCTTCTCGGGCTTGCTTGAATTCTACGCCAAAATATGGTCTAAGTAGAAAAATCTATTTTTGGAAAAGCCATGCCCAACTTGCGCGATAACTTGGTAAATTATGGATGTGCCACTCGTTTTTTACAATTGGATTTAAGACCGCATCTCAAATTAACCAACTGAAGTTGAGAATCCATTTGGAAATCTGATGGAGCAGCGTGTCCCACGTCTTAGTGATCTGCGAAAGAAAATTCCCTCAGGATTGCTCAAGAAAAAATATTTGAAGTGGCCTTTTATCCTTTACACACTCGGGAGCTCACTTCCCATACATGACAGTGAAACCTATATTTTTAATAGCTGAAATTTAGCTGAATTGATTGTTTCATTTGATTCTTTTGTTGTGTGCAGTCTGGTGACCGGACTGAGACCATCAACTTGCTACAAACTGGTTTAATCACAAGTGGCTGCCTGGATTCGTACCGAGGGATCTCGGTGGAGCCAGCTCTACCCAGCTCCTTCTCATCTTAGGATGTTTAAAGAGAGTCAAAATTATCCCCCCTTGCTCTCTCAGGTATCGAGCAATGCTTTCCCCCATTGTTTTTCTTTAACGGGGGGGGGCGCGTAGAAATTCAACATTGAATTGTAGTGTATCTTAAAACGCAACAAGCAACCATTACTTGCCATCATATGGTGCGGATGGTACTTTTATCAGTCGTTGAATATTGAAGAGTTGAACATGATTGAAATTTAAACTTTCGGTATTGCAATTCGTAATCGCTTCAATCTCCCGCTAATTGTACTGATCCCATGGAGGAGGATTTGTAAGTTGTTTTGGCAAGTCAAAATTGCTTTGCTGAAGGCCACAAACATCTCAAGTGAGAAACTGCAGTCTTCACTGTAGATGTCACAAATTGAATGTTAAAAAGTAAATATGAAACTAAACTGAGGCTGAAAACTATTTACAAACTTTCAAAACGTTTGAAATCTTCCCTAAAGATACAATGTAACGGGGATGATTTAAACTTATTAATCAAGAAATATCAGGAAGCACCGTAGCTTATATTACATCACTTCCTTGCTTTCTCCACAAGAAAGTGTTGTTATGTGGTATCGGCTGACGTCAATACAAAGACATGTTATATTATCAAAATATAAATGATCCGAAAATCATAAAAGAATACCCTAAATTGTCCTAAATATCCCAAATCGGAAATTGGAAAATCTAAAAACTCATCTCTACGACGCAACATTAATCCCCAATAGCTGTCCTTCACTGAATTAGGTGCAGCAGCAGCAAACATTGTTTATTTTGCAGCCAACTTTATGCACCTGCTTTGGATAGAAGAACGGGACCTTAGTGTAACCCCCCCCACCAGCGTTGTTACATGGCCATTATGACAAACCTGAGCCATCCAGACAATTTCGACTGAAAAGGTGTTTCTGATGCTCATTTGACCATTAGCTTTATTTTATCAATCGTTTTAATATTATCATAATGCAAGTTTATTATTATTGTTAGTGTTATTAATATTATGTTATTGCTTTAATGTGATTGTGCCGATACTTTCGCTCTCACTGTAATATTCCTATTACATTTGTAACATTCAACACTAAATATAATGTATAGTGTACACACACACACACGTACATTGTATAGCACACTAATGTGTGTGTGTATATACTGATACACAAATGGCTAGATACATGTTGCTGATATCAAACAAGAGACTCCTGGCAAAACTACCACAAGGTAGTATTTGGTGTATCGCCAATGGACTTTTTTTAAATGTGTGTATGAATAAAATCGCCCAGTTGAAAGAGATGATAACATTGCAGCTTATAGGCCTACAAGGCAAACATCTTCCATTGGCAGTTATATGGCACATGAGACTTGGTTCGTGATGGTGGCACCCATCAGTGAGCTACAGCTAGGTACATATTGTACAAAGTGTGTGACGAGGTCTGGATGAGAGGAAAGAGCCAGTGCACGCACCATGGAGTAAACGTAAAAAATGCAACATCGGTATATATATAGTGTAACTTAATGTGTTAGTTTACTCGCACTAGAAATAATTCAATTGAAGGCAAGAATTGACTCGTTTATACAGAATATGTAGTGAAATCCCCAAAGAGATTGGCCACTGAAATTTATCCTGGTTGGCCTTTTGTAGGGTTTGAGATATAAAACATTGCTTTGTGATATAAAACCAGCGCTCTCACCAGCACAATAATCTCCTTTGTACGTGTACAGCCCTTTTGTCAATCCATTGCTGGATGAGGACCCCTTCATGGGTCGTGATTGTTATTTGGTCATACTTCACCATGCTGGTCAGTGCACGATGAAGCTGGGGAGCATGTAAAGTACAGTACAATAATGATTTTCCTACACTGCCCTTTACCAGAGGTGTGGACTCGAGTCATGTGACTTGGACTCGAGTCAGACTCGAGTCATGAATTTGATGACTTCAGACTCGACTTGGACTTGCATAACAATGACTTTGTCCCACCTCTGAGGTGTGGACTCGAGTCATGTGACTTGGACTCGAGTCAGACTCGAGTCATGAATTTGATGACTTCAGACTCGACTTGGACTTGCATAACAATGACTTTGTCCCACCTCTGCCCTTTACTGACTATCATGTAGCCCCACACTTCTAGCGACCTCAAAAATCACAGAACATGTATAAAACGTTAATATGATTAACACCCTTTTTACAGAATATGGGTTTAAACACAACTTGAAAGAGCGAAGAAGGGAAATCATTAAAGAAAAGTAATGTCAAAATTTTCTTTCAATTATTCAGGAATATATTTGAGACAAAACTCCAACAAAGTTGAAAATAGAATGGAGGTGATTTTCGATAAGATGAAACCCCACTGCAATCAAACTTTGTTGGGCTTCTTAAGCATCTATAGTTTTATTTCTGATAGTTTATAACTGGGACACGTTTCTAAGCCTGGAATCAATGTGGTTTGACGTATATACACCATTGGTATGATATTTAATGCTGCCCATTATTTTTGTACAATGTGCATTGATTCCAGCGGTCAATTGGATAAAAAAAATCCCATTAATATGACTTAATCTTGTCTCCTCCACACTCACAGAGGTTTCACTGTGAATTCATATCAGACAGCGATTGCTTTTGAAAGTAGTCACCGCTATGGGAAAAAACAGATGCAGCGTGTTTTGTAACATCCCTGTGCAAATTTGTGTAAATTGTTTTATAAGTCCACGGTGAAAAAAAGCACATTTTGAAGATCGTTCCTTCTCGTTGAGGTGGGGGACAGCCGCTGTTGTACCTGTTGGCATGAAGTACATTGCACTATATTCATGATTTTTTTGCATTCAGTCGTGAAAAATACAAATGCTTATGTAACTTTTTTTAACAAATAGATGGCAAAAAATGTTTGGATTTTGAAACAAAAAATATATGCATGCATGTATCGACATTGTTGAGCGCAGTGATGTGGCACTAATATTCTAGCTACCTTAAGTTTGATTCCTGGCCATGATGCACAAGTTGCATGGAATATTGATAATGGAATCCAAGCCTCGGCCTCCGTTAGGTCAAATCGGCCTAATATGAGTACCTGATCGTGCAGTCAACATCAAGACGAAGGATGCCGGGTTTGCATGCCGCTGGCTCCGACACACTCATGTGTGCCATGCCGGCCTTAATATGTGCTCGCTAACAGCACTTACCCTAGTAGTCTGTGAGGCTACATAGGGTTGCTTTTATATATACTGTATTGAAATACAAGCATTTTGTGAGTGTTGATATGGACTGGGTGGTGGTGATGCCGTGAGACTTGAGAAGCACATTGACATTTCGTTTGAGATGTCGGGTGCAATTAAGTATCAAGATAGATAAAAAAAGGTTTAAATTTAAACTACAAAACTAGTTACCCAGGTTTTGCGAAAGAGCGAATCACCTGGTTTCAAAATTACATTGGATTTAAACTTAAATTGAGGTCATGAAAATTAAGTGATAAAAATTAATCGTGGTTCTTCACTTCAATTTATCTATAAGCTTCACGTTTTTACCTGATGCGGCATTGACAGTCGTAATCATTTTCTCAACACTACCGCAGGAAACCGGATTTTAGGGTCATCGTCTTGAGTTTTATAACCCACAATGCCGATCTTGAAACCCTAGCATTCTCAATGTGAGACTTTGGATGCTAAATACACTGAACTCGTCACAATTTTCAAACAAGTAGATTGGAAACAAGTGTTGGAACGCCGAACTCAAAATCCGGTCCCTGGAGGTGATTCTAGAGGCATTGAAACTAATTTCCCAGGACAGCCTCTTTAGTATCAGTACTGGGAAAGTGGTCTCACAATGCTGCCTCTGTCAATAAGCTGATAGAAGTAAGGCGATTGGTGCCTGTCCTGCCTTTACAAAATCCCAGTGTGAACCCAGAGGGAGACGCCCACGTTATCTGGGCCCATGTGCGTGCAGCACCCCCTATTGTAACCTTTTGTAGCCGCTTGTAGCAATTTTTAACGTAAAAGCATACTGTACTTAAGAAAACTAAATAAAGTATTTTTATACAAATGGAGAAATTATTACGAGTGGTAAAACAATGTGTTTCACTTTTTTTTCATTATTATTTTTGGTTGATTGCGTGAGGGTACATACGTGTACGATTGTATGTATGTATATTAAGGATATAGGCATTGTTTTAATATCCTTTTTGAGTTCTCCCCCCCCTCCCCCAATTTCGTGCCACTGGTGTCATGTTACGAGATGAGGAAATTCCTATTGAGAATTCTCACAGTGAGCAGTGCATCACCCTGAACAAGACCGACCCCGGAAAACGGGAGTTGCAGAAGTTACTATAAGCCCTCTTTCATTACACTAGGGACACCCTTTCTGTGCCTTGAAAAAAAAGTGTTGTATATCAAACCAAATGAAGCTGTGTAACTTGTTGGATATAACGCAGAAAAATAATGTGGAACTTACATTTGGATATTTGAAACAATTGTGCATGGATATAATTAAGACAGGAGTTATTAGGATTTTTCAAAAACAATAAAATAAAATAAATGAAAACTAAATTAAATCAGTGATTGAATTTAGCTGTTTTCATTTACTTCAACTACCGCAAGAGACCGGATTTTAGGGTTGTCGTCTTGAGACTCGTCTCCCGGAGGCAGTCTTGAGTTTTACAACCCACAATGCCAATCTTGAAACCCTATAATTCTGAATGTGAGACTTTGGATGCTAAAATCACAAATACAGTAACTCAACACGTTCGTCAATAACGCTGCCTTAAAAGGGGAAAAAACATAGCATAGCTGTCAACCCATACGGTGTGAGATAAATAAAAGCGTGTAGAAAGTAGAGGAAATGGCTATTATTATTCCCCACAAATTTTGCTTTTGTGACCGGGACTTTATGTGAACGAAAGACACAAATGCACACGTTCTCATTGAAAATTGGTACATTTCAAAATATCACTGTCCTGGTCACAAAAACACAGTTTGTGGGGAATAAATACATTCCTGCGGAGGGAGCTGGTAGGAACGTTGGGTTGCTCGGTCAATGGCCAGGGTCAACGGCGGCGTGGTGTATTCCGCAAATATGCCCGACTGTGAGGGCGGGCACAAGCCGGCGTGAGTAGGTTAAACGTTGAGTTTTATAAGGGCACCACGGGGTGACCAGCCCCTCCCCACCCAGCCCCACCCCCCACCCTCCCCACCAGCCCCACCCTCCCCTCCCCACCCAGCCCCTCCCTCCCCACCCAGCCCCTCCCTGCACGATGGACGGACACAATAATCCCTGTGGACTGGTGGAACCAGGTGGTTCCTACCAGTATAACCATTTTCTGTACTTTTGAAGCATAAGCAATTAGGAAATAACACTTACTACCCAGGAACGATTTTTTTGTTACACAATGTCATTATCGAGGCTTCACCCCCCCCCCCCCCGTTTCCGATGCGTACGCACGTGGGTTACCCCCTCCATGCGTACGTACTCAATGGACGGCCCCGAAGATCTGAATTGGTCTTTAACAAAGTAGGGCACCGATAAGAGGTTGACAGGTTCGTGACAGACGACGTTTCGAGCAACGGCTCCTTTCCCCGAAACGTCGCTCTATTTACATTTGAAGCCACTGCCATTGACGAACGTGTCGAGGGTTTTTGTGTCATCATCCTGTCACCGACGTCACGTCGTTGTTGACGTCATGTCGTTGTTGCGCGTGCGCGTTTTCTGACGTCACGCCGTCTTCGACGTGACGCGCCCGGCGATCACGGCGGGCGCGTGACATCACCAGAATTCACCTTGCGACGTGTCTGCGTCACGACGTGCGACGCGGCTGCGTCACGCGCCTTACGCACTGACGTCACGCGCCTTACGCGCTGACGTCACGCGCCTTACGCGCTGACGTCACGCGCCTTACGCGCTGACGTCACGCCGTCTTCACCGCCCCCCACCCCCTGCCCCCCCCCGTCGCATGGCGGACAGGTCGCAGTGGACGGTCATGACTGTGGAGCACAGGGAGACGGCGGAGATCCCTTCCAGGGTGAGCGCGGCTTGCCTCTCCCCCTCACTCCTCGAGCCCCGACGCGGGATCTCTCCCTCCCCGCGCGGTGCCGACTCGGACGCGCTCCTGCATCTCGTGGGCCGCCGTGGAAGTGACTTTCTGTGGGGCGCCAACGGTGCGGCCTAGTGCGCGCAGCCTGCCTGGATGGCGGGGGGGATTCCCGCAGAGGAAACTAGTCGAGGGCGCCTTTACTACGGGCCCCCGCGACATCGCATAGCCCGTCGCTTGTTGTTGTTGCTGCTGTCGGAAGTTGTTGGTGTTGTACAGCTTTGGGTGGGTTTGCAGGTGTTTGTGTTGTCAATCCCTGCGCAGTAGCAGCAGCAGCAGCGGCAAAGAGGTTGAAGAGGTGCTGGTGAAGTTAGTGAGCGTGGAGATCACTGACGCGGGGTGGAGGCGAGCGAGAGTGCGCGTGTGTTTACGTGTGCGAGCGTGCATGCGTGTGTGAGTTAGGGTGTGTGTGTGCGTGTTGTTCCAGCGAGGGTGTAAGTACATTGTATGCATTAACGAGCGCGGGTTTAAGTGGCCGAGTACGGTTGTGTGTGTGTGTACGTGCGTATGAGTGAATGTGTACTGTGTTTTGTAAGTGCGTAGTTGAGTGAGTGTGTTTGGCGTGTGCTCGGTGGGGGGAGTGAGTTGTACAGGTGATTGGGTGAGCGGATACGAGTGTGTGGGTATATGGGTCACAGGCGTGTATGTGTATGATGATGTGGGTTTGTGGATGTATGTGTATAGCAAGTGTGTGGATGCCAGTGTGTGTGGTTTTAAAGTGTGTGTGACAATGAGCACGTATTCTGGCGTGTGGGTGGTAAAGAGTGGTTATGTGCGAGTGGTTGCTAGCGAGTCGTGAATGTGTACGTTTGTGCGAGTCAATTCCTTTGGACGTATTCATCTGCAAGTCAATTATTTTGTGACTTGATATGTGAGAATGGGCGTCCATGAGTATGTGTAATGTTGATGTTGTTTGTGTGCATATATTAGAGTGTGTAAACACGTACTCTTCCGATTGAAAAGGCTAACAAAATAAAACTTTCACACGTTCGTCAATAACACTCCCGTAAAAGTAAATAATAGGCGACGGTTTGGGCACTGGCCCTTCAGAGCACGTAAAAGGTTAAATAGGTGGAATCCGACTGTAAGGTAAATATCTACATTTGTAGATACTGTACTATATATTGTGAATACGTATCTGGAAAATGTGTGTATACATGTCATTACACTTTCAGTCGTTTGTGTGGATATATGTATGTATACTTCATACAGATTCCATACTGTATGAATATTTCATATAGATGTCTATTTACGTAAATGTAGTTTGTAGATTTATATATAATTGAGGCGTTACCATATGTAAATGCATGTACGTAGATCAATGCTTGGGTTGCATGATATTTCATGATTTGGCCACACGCAGCACCCAGTTTTAATTTGAATCTGAACCTGGTCTGAGCCTCGCTTAGGTAGGTCCAGCCTTCAATGAGAGCCTCTTGTGGTGTGTTTACATCAACAATTACGCCGCAAAGGTGGTCTGTCTGACCTGCTGAATGCATGCCTGAACAAGTGTTCTCTAAAATTCACTTGTCATGCAGCCTCGCAAGCGAGATGAGGTATCCGCATAAATGTGGGTCATGTGCGTGTGTTGTGTATTTAGTGCTTCTGTGTACGGATATCATGAGTGAGTAACACGTAGGCGCTTAGGCAAGCACCCTTTGCATCAACATGTCTGGAGTTTGAGGAATAATGCCACGTTCACGAACCTTTTAATGAGCACGCGTGAGTCTGCATTTGAACATGTCACCACCACACGAGTTCGCGATGTCCACACTGGTTTGGGCACACAATTTGCCGATTAACTGACTGCATTTATCCCGAAAAAATATCGTCACGAAACTTTGCTGAGTACCGTATGAGATCCCAGTTAGATGGAAATGATGATAGAATTCAGCTGATGAATTCTTTAGTATCTGGTATTGAAACAACAACAAAAAGTGAAATATTTTATTGAAATTTATGATTTGCAAATTGTCAGCTGAAAATCTTAGATATAGGTCGTTCTTAAAATGTAATGGACAAACGCATTCCTCAATATAGGATGACCCAAAAGGCCTCATTATCCTCCATTGCCCTATCTCAGAGTCTCCAGAATGGTGCAGACGATTGAGTGGTTTACCCCATTTCTATCCACTGCAGGATATGTCCAGAGCTAGGCTCAACCAAATTAAGTGTCAAATCAAATTTATAGGATGGTCTCTTTTGTGCAGTCATCAGTGACTGCACTCAGACCATTACACTTACTGCTCACAACAACCTGGCTCCGTCCTGGATGGGAGCCCAAGTATTCAGAGCAGAATCTCAGTGTCGCTGGCTTTGTGCCCAGACATGGCCATTATGAGCCATCCTTAAGACAATCGGTGGCCTCTTTCATTTGAGTTTGGTTTTCCAGTTGGGATTATATATGTAGTTTGTAATTGGAAGGTAAGGGAATTACTTATTTTATGTTTTGATTTTGAGTTGTGCTTGTCTTTATGTTGTTGGTCGTCTGATTTAATCTGCTTTCTCCTCACTCACCCTGTCTCGCTCTCAATCCCATTCTCCCGCTATCAGTCTCCACTTCATATCTATTTCTCTACCATTATCGTTAAAGTCCTCTCCATCCCAATTCCTGTTTCACCCGATTGCCAATTCCCTGTCCTCCCCTGTTTCTCTGTCTTTCCATCTCTCCCTCTCTCCTCACTCCTCACTCCTGTGTCTTACTTCCCTTTTCTCCTTAGTATCCCAATCTTTACCTTGCACCCTCTGTCCCCTTCACCACTTGTTTTCTGTCCTCTCTCTGAGCTACACGTGTGGCCCTGATGAGTGACGTGCGGGTGTGCGGGGTCACTTACAGCCCCGCACTATTATTAGCACTGTGACAAGTGTGCATGAGTATGGAATGTGTGTGAGTGTCCGTTTTCATGTGTGTGTATGTATGTGCGTGAGTAAGCATGTGTGTGTATATGTGTGTGGTTGTGTGTGAGTGTGCAGATTGTGTGACTGAGTATCCGTACGCCCGTGATGGTACATGCTTGTCCAACTGATATGTATGTGTGTTGTGGGGAGCGGTAGCGCGGTGGGTTAGATTGTTGTGCCACCAACCCAGCGACACGCGTTCTCTCCCCTTTCATGGCCAACATCAGTGCTGAATATTTTAACTGATCCTGGGCCTCCCCTAGGTCGACTCAGCCGTAAATGAGTACCTGGTGCAGTGTAAAAACATCAACACTTGGCGAAACAAAGACGACCAGGCGTGGTGTTGGCCACTCACCCCCTCGTGTGCTGTGTTGGCCTTGATAGGTGCTCCCTAACAGCACTTGCCCCAAAATTCTGTTGAAGGCTGTCGGGGAGACCTTTGTCTGTTTGCTGTGTGAGTAAGCATGTGGTTATATGTGTGTGTGAGATTGTGTGTGTAGAGTCTACGAGCGATATAGATACGTGACTGCACATGCTTATCCAATGTGTGTGTTTGGTCATTAAGTGAGAGCGATTCTGAGTTTATGAGTCTGTGCGTGTGGCGAGTGGCTTTGTAGTTGTTGGCACACTAAGCTAAAATCTCAGAGAGCTGGGTTCAATACCTTACAATAAACAACATGAGTGGAAAGTGGCATATGAATGAAGCTGTCCTGGACCTCTCCAGAATCAATTCAGCATTCAGTGAGTATGTAGTGCAGTGAGTGGACATCTTTACAGAGGATACATCAGAGGCAGCGTGCGTTTGTTGGCCGCAAACACCGCCCTGTATAATTGCTTGTATCTTTTGTCCCCACAGTTAATAAATGTTAATGGAGAATCCCGATGTTAAATGTACACAAGTGTTAATTCGTGTATGTCGTGTGTGGGTTGGAGTGAATGCAGGAGTTGAGTGTGTATAATGAATGTGGGTGTTTTTGAGTGTGTGTCTCCCGTGATAACGGTGCTATATTTATACAGCGATCACAGAAGCAGCAGGATATCTCAGCTGCTTCGTAATTGCTGGGTCCGCGCTGCTGATGCCCTGAGTTTGATTCCTGGACTCTTGCCTGGTAATGAGAATAACGCAGCTCTCGTGTGGACTGTGTTTGGTGGTCTCAGTCCGGTCGCTAGGCGTTTTAATGATTCAACTGTCTCACAGTTTGATGAATTGAAGCATTTCATGGAATTCGGGGTCATAATTCAATTTGACGATCAATTTTCTTTTTTAACACTGCGCTAAGTGTAGCAGCGTCTAGCGACTGCGGTGGGTCACTTGAACCCATTACGTACAACATTTATACGAATCAAGAACATTGATTCTTACACACGGGATTCGATGCAAGCATCGTGAACTTTTGAAGTCGATTTTATAAATCGACGAATCACCCCTCGCAGTAACGCATGGCTGGCCTACAATTGTACACTTTAAACATTTTACCCATTCATACAATTGAGTTCATCCCAGAGGGCTTCATTTGGTAACCTCTCTCTCATTTGAGTGCTTGCATGGAGCACTTGGTGGCTGTGTAAGATATGCCCACGAACGATTATTGGCAAGGACCTGGGGTGCCTCCCTTACCCAGGCCTCTGAGCTAAAATCACTCTTGTTCTTTTCATGAAGAGAGCCTCTGCAAAAATTAGTAATGGTATTTAAAAATTAACAAACTTTATATATACAGTATACAATTACTTTATACAGCCCTAAAGCGCGGTCATGGAGAATGTGGGATGGTTGAGAGGAAAGGAGATGAAGAGGTAGGGCAAGGATAGAGATGAGCAGGGAGTAAGAGACCAGGGGAGATGGGTAGAGAGCATTTATTTGAATGTGGCTTTTTGTTGCGCTTGATTGTAATAGTCTCTAACATTTTGGCTTTTTTTGTTTTAGTTGCAAGGAGCTATTACTGCCGTCACCGTCATGTATGTGCTATATATATAGAGTCAGCAGCTCATTAGGGCTGCCTAGCTATAAATACTTCCTCTATGAAGAACCAAAGGCATTTAATGACGCCTAAATATGTACAGTGACATTAGAAGGCTTCTCCCAGTATATTTTATCTTATGTGCTATCTTAAACAAATTCCTCTCTTACACAAGCACTTATAGACATTTTGTGAATGTGATTTGCTACCACAAAGCTAAAAATTAATAAACTGTTTAAAATATCCGCATGAAGTACTTTTTAAGTTGTGAACAATTGCGTCTGCTAATAATATGTAATTTTACACTGCTGACAAGCATGGCGGTGTGTGCCCGTACCTACTGGAACATAACCGCTTCAGTAATAATTATAGTTTTAAAATAAAATAAACCGGATAATCCGCCCACGGTTAATAGAGAGATAACTGTGGTTCTGTGAAGATTTCTTGCGGTTCTGTGAAGATCTCTTGTGCAGCCATTCTTGGGCACATGGCATTGCGCTACCGTGAGGTTCCCAAATGGTTTCTGTGTCTCGTGACATAACGCCGAGAGCGCGCTGGGAATAACATCGTGAAAAAATACAACACAAATATAAGAACTGGCAGTTACCATGAGTTGCCTAAGCTGAGTATTAATCCTAAGCTTCAGTGGGAACACCCAGACTGAAATGACCACATTGAGGCACTCTATGGATATTCGTATGTGTTTTAGGAGAGATGCGTTCTACACCGGCTTGAACAGCTGCCTTGTTAAGTTTCCTTTTGGTGTTTGGTTTCCATTGCTGAGTGAGTTGAGGGTTGCCCGTGAATTAATAGCTCCCGCCTGTTTCTTTCGTCCCATCTCACTCTGCTCCCCTCCCCGTGCCCTCTGCTCCAGCCACGAAGGCCCCAGTCAACATGTGCTCAATGGAGCGATCGCTTCTTCTCCTCTGGCAGCCCCACTGTCTGGAGCTCCCCACCCCCCCCCCCCCCCCCGCTGTGTCTCTGTCCTTCCCGGTGTCTTTAGGCACACCAACGTGGTACTGTAGTTTAATAACAGAGAATGGTCTCTCTCTGTGCCGTAAAACATTTAGGTCTTTCAACCACAAGGCCTTCCCAACCAATGTGTTCTGGCAGTATTTGCGAAGTAAAATAAGCACCAGACTAGTTTAAATTGTCAGCCTTATCACCAAGGTGTGGGTCTTATATACTATATGTCGCCGAATTATTTTCTGGTTACTCCGTACTATCCCATTGCTCGCATCATGATGAGAAAGTTATTTAATCTGTGGTTATTTGCCAAATAGGCTTTCAGGTGCTGGGCCTGACCAAATTGCTGTACAGTCAATGGTGACCAGGCTGAGAGCGGTGAACACACCGCTCATGAGAACCTGGTTTAGTCTCAACACAAGATTGAATCCATTGTTTTGAAATATTAGTAGTAGTATTGTTTTTCCCAGGAAAGCCGCACTGAGTCTCATGGCCTGATGGTCTTGCCAAGTGTTCACAGTCAGGATCAATGGTTACTAGGTCTAATTAAAATTGAGAAATGTGCAGGTAGTTTTTTTAAAATTCGGACAATGATGCCAACACACAATGGGCCCACTCTTGCAAATGACGTCACAGGAACTTTTTAACGTCCACTTTGAAGCAGACGGCACGTATTCTTCCGGTCAATTACACCTGCAGTGTTAATTAGGGCGGCAGCAGGATTGGAACCATGGACCTCTGCAACAAGCGGAGAAAGCGCTACTGCTGGGCGTAACATGTGCGGTGTGGTGTGGTGTGCTGTGGTTGGTGTGCGTTTGACGTGGTGTGCGTGGAGACCGGTTGTGTAGCGGTTCGCGCGTTGCGCTACGAACCGCGAGGCCCGAGTGGTCAATAAAGGTGGCGAATATATGAAGCCGTCCTGGGCCTTCCCTAGGTCGACTCGACCTTAAATGAGGATCTGATGCGGTGTGCAAAACGTCATCACCGGGGAAGCAAAGGCAGGCGGGCAGGCGTGGTACTGGCCACCCCGACCCCCCTTCGTGCCATACCGGCCTTCATAGGTTCTCGCGAATAGCACTTCTCACAAAGTCTGTGTATAGCTATACCGGGGACCTTTGTCTTTGTGACGTGGTGTGTGTGTGTGGTTTGTATTGCAGAATAATCAGATCATCCTGAATCAGCTGAGAGAGATCACGGGCAACAGTGATGTCATCGCTTTACAGCAAGCGCTGCAGGTGATCCATCGCCGACATCAATAGCATTACCGTCACCTCTTCCTCCTCCCTCCCTCCCTCCCACAACATCGCCATCACCTCTTCCTCCTCCCTCCCTCCCTCCCTCCCACAACATCGCCATCACCTCTTCCTCCTCCCTCCCTCCCACAACATCGCCATCACCTCTTCCTCCTCCCTCCCTCCCTCCCACAACATCGCCATCACCTCTTCCTCCTCCCTCCCTCCCTCCCTCCCACAACATCGCCATCACCTCTCCTCCCTCCCTCCCACAACATCGCCATCACCTCTTCCTCCTACTGCCCACACCATCATCAACAACAGCACCCTAATTGTCTCTTTTTAACAACAACAACACACAATGAAGCAAAACGGTCTTCCTTCTATGGTATCACTTAAATCAGTGTTGAATGAACGTCGGCACGAAGGAGACAAATGTGGCTGGGCGATGTGTTGCCTGTGTGCTGGCCTTTATAAGTGTACGCGAACAGCACTCGCCCCTACACGCCACTCATATGTGGCTAAATCATTGCTTTGTGTACTTGCTTTTAATTGTAAGCATGCGTGATTTTGTGCGTGTAGGCACGTGCATGTGTGTGCATGTGTGTTTGTACAAGCGTGTATGTGTGTGTGTTTGTGTACGAGCGTGCTTGTACACGTGTGTGTATGTGTGCTCTCGTGTATGTGTGCATGTGTGTGTACTGGCCTTCATAGGGGGCTCGCTAACCGCACTTGCCTCAGCAGTCTGTGAAGGCTATATGGGCGGATCTTTTGTTTTATGTTCATGTGAACTGTACGTGTGTGTACATGTCCAGGCTGCGCAGGGGGATGTGTCCCAGGCCGTCGCGTTGCTCACGGAGACGCCCAATCAAAACGCGGGCTGCGCACTCTCATCCAGCCAATCGCATCGCTCGCTCCCCGGCCAATCGCAGAGCAGCAGTGAGTATGGCATTTCATCTGGTTAGGTGTGTTTACAGGCGTGACTGCACACTCGTATAATCCATTGTTTCAAAGCACAAAGGCTGGTGAGTCGTGCATATTGATGAAACTCCCTAACCGGCTGTGCTGTGAGATGGGCAGGAGATGGCAGTACAGGAAGTGGGTTTCTGATCCCGCCTGTGTGGACATTTGAGTGTTTTCCTCCCACATGCTTGGGTTTGAATGCGCCAATTTCCTATCGCAGCCAAAACACTTCTTCATGTAGAATGAGCCAAACGGCACAATACAAATATACTTCAGACAAACATTGCATTAATGTTATGATAATGTGTGCCATTGCAATTGCTGTTAATGGTGCAGGATTCTATGGCTTTTTACCAATGTGTTCTTGATTTGGAACAGATGCAATGGGAGGCTGCCCACGTGCCCAGATTAGGCCGAGAGTTGCTTTCCATGATGCATGTGCCGTAAGCTGTCTGTAAGTGTGCATCTGAGCCTTGAGTAGCTGAGAATGATTGTAGTTTATCGTCTTCCGGGTTATGTGTCAACAACCCTCCCCTATGTTGTGTCAGCCTTAAATGAGTACCTGGTGAGATGTGCAAGCATCACCACTGGGGAGACAAAGGCGACTGGGTGTGATGCTCGGCACACCACCCCGTCGTGTGCTGTGCTGGCCTTCATAGGTGCTCGCCGATAGCACTTGCCCCAAAAGTCTGTTGAGGCTATACAGGGGATCATTGTCTCATATGTACAAGTGTGTGTGTATAAGTGTAGACGTGTGTGCGTGTGCGGGCGAGCAAGCAGGCGTGATTGACCTCACGGGCGACGACAAGGATGACCTGCAGCGCGCCATCGCCCTGAGCCTGCAGGAGACGAGCGAGCGCGCCGTCAGGGCCGATCTCACCACCGAGGAGCAGGACATCAGCCGGTGCGGCACCTTTCACCGCATTCATCCTGCCTCGGGGGCATTTGGAATTTCCACCGCCGGCTTGAGGAGGGAAAAAAAAACGCAATGGCAACGAGCACCGTGCCACCGTATTTTGCAGGGGGAGACGCTGGCGCCATTTGAGCAGCAATGGCAAAATACGGCCTCCTGGGGCCACGAGCCGCACGGCTGATCCTCCAACCCGGACGTAACAGCGCGCGCTTCCGTCCCGCGCCCTCGCGTGCTCCATTAACCCCACGGGCACCGTGTCCGGCGCTTGCACAGCAGACAAGCGTGCACTTGCTGAACTTCGAACTTGAACTTCTTGCGCACCGTACGCAGCCACGCGCGTGCTAATGGGAGGCGAAACAGGACCTACGCGTCCTGGGTGCCGCAAACCGATGTCTTCCGGTCCGTGACAACACGGACGATGGGAACGTCCTCGGCGCTCAGATGTGACATCTCCCACAATCGTACCCGAATTCGCGGCGACGGTGAAGATCGTGGCGGCACCGTGACCCGTTGACCAATGGTGGCGCCGTTGCGGCGGTGGTGGGCGCAGGGTGCTGGAGGAGAGCCTGGCGGAGGCATCGGGCCCCGGAGGAGTGAAGCGCAAGCGCGACTCCCCGTGCGCTTGCTCGTGCCCGCGAGAGGGCGATGGTGCCAGCGGCGGCGCAGTGGAGGGGGACGTGGCCGTGTCGGCCGTGCGCACGCCGGGGGCTCCTGTTGGGCTCAAGAACGTGGGCAACACCTGCTGGTTCAGCGCCGTCGTGCAGGTGAGCTCGCGCGCGCGTGTGTTCACGTGCAGAGCCGTGGCGCAGCGGTTGGCACTGCACCGCGTTACGAAGCCGGTATCCCGAGTTAGAATTCCGCTCGCAATTAATAACAGTGGCGAATATATGAACCGGTCCTAGGCCTTCCCGAGGTTGACGCGACATTAAATGAGTACCTGATGCGGTGTGTAAAACATTATCAGCAGAGGCGGACCAGGCATGCTGTTGGCCACCCACCCCCTCATGTGCCGTGTACCGGCTTTTATAGGCTAACAGCTGTTGCCCCAACAGTCTGTTAAAGGCTACATGAGGGATCTTTGTTATTTGTGTTCATGAGCTGTGCCATGACAAATAATGAAGTTGTAACGCTGTCGCGGCGTAGCTGTTGGCACACTGAACCTGCGACGCTGATGTCCCCGTGTCCCCAGTCTCTGTTCAACCTGCCTGGGTTCCGACGCCTCATCCTCGGATTCACCCTCCCAGACTCTCGGCTCCAGAACCCGCAGTCAGAAAATGCAAGTCTCACGCTCACACGCACGCACACATGCACGCACACACGCACGCACACATTCGCTGCAAACGGGGGCCAGGGTGACGCAGCGGTAAGGCTTGTCCCTCACGGATAAACGAGCCTGGGTTCGATTCCTGACTGGGGTGCCTCTTTGTGTGTAGTTTACATTGTGTGTCCCCCCCCCCCCTGTCCTGCATGGGTTTTATCCAGGTTCTCCATTTCCCTCCCGATGCCGAAATCAAACCGTACAAACTAACTTGTTGTTGGCCAAACACCCAGCGGCACCATCACCCCCCACTTCTGCAAACAAAAATATCGGCAGGACCCTCTTCACAAAGAGTCTTGAGACTCGCTGAGGGTTTCCTGGCTTAACAAGCATAATAATACCCGCGTACACACTCGCACATTCGCTTATTCACTCGCTTACACAATAGCTGCGACACTCTTTGCATGCATACATACTTGCACTTCTACACTCCCATTTACACACTGATAAAGAACCCCCCACTTGGACAACGCATGTCTCCGCACTAGATTACGCAATCACTAACACACTCACTGATTGGCAGATGTACCACCTGTGCTCTCCACTGTCACATACACTCAGACACTTAAATACATAAACATTCATAATTTTTGTCATATCCTGCGATAGGTGTGTATCTCCTCTTGTTCCCAGGTGTAGCCGCCCCTCCTCCACCACCACGTGTCTCTTTGCTTGTCCCCGTGTCTCTCAGCATATACCCAACAGAAGCGCGTGGGGCTGTGTCCTCACGTCCCCACGTGTACGCACGTTTCCCCCGGCGTGTCCCCCACAGGAGCGCGTGGGGCCATGTCCTCGTGTCCCCAAGTGTACTCACGTGTCCCCCGCGTGTCCCCCCGGCATGTTCCTCACAGGAGTGCGTGGGGCCATATCCTTGTCCCCAAGTGTACTCACGTGTCCCCCGCGTGTCCCCCCGGCGTGTTCCTCACAGGAGCGCGTGGGCCTGTGCTTCATGCGGGAGCTGCGCGTGCTCTTCGCCCTCATGGTCGGCTCCGTGCGAGGCTTCGTCGATCCCTCCCCCGCCGTCCACATCCTCAAGGGGGCCTTCCGGGGCGCGGACACCCAGCAGGTGCACCCCCAGGAAGAGTCGAGGGAGGGGACCCGAGTCCGAGATTCAGATCCAGGAGGCGTGGTCTCAAGGCTAATGTCTGAGACACGGAGCCAGGAGACGTGGTCTCAAAGCTAATGTCTGAGACACGTTGCCAGGAGATGTGGTCTCAAGGCTAATGTCTGAGACACGGATCCAGGATACGTGGTCTCAAGGCTAATGTCTGAGACACGGAGCCAGGAGACTGGGCCTCCTTGTCTTTCCAAATCTCCATGGGTCCCTTTTTCTATCTTTTGCCGCCCATTATTTCTGCGTCTTCTTGTTTCTGTGTCCCAAGTCCAATTATTATGTTTTCTCTGTGCCCTTAAGTGTCCCTGTGTTTGCGTGTGTCTCGTTTTCTTGTCCTCAGGATGTCAGCGAGTTCACCCACAAGCTGCTCGACTGGCTTGAGGATGCCTTTAGGATCTCGGCTGAAGAAAGCAGGTACAGAGGCACACGTGAGGACACATGCACACACAAGGTTGCACGCAGGCGAGTACACACACACACACAAAGCTATCAACTTAACTACAACAACCGCCGTTTGCCACTAAATGACTGTTACGTCACCATGGTGCTTGTGCACTTTGAGGCCACGTCAAGTGTCCAAAATGCTCACTGCTGGCAGGAGGTCATGGGACATACCCAGGTGCCATGGGTTGACTGACTGACATGTATACACATACCAGTAGACAAACACACACACACACACCACGATTGTATAATTGCGTAAAATTATTTAAGCACCCGGCGGGCGCGCGCACGAGGATACGTTCAAGTGGTGCTCCACGCACACAGATGGTTGCGCGCACGTGGGAACACGCGCAGAGGCTGTCCTGCTGCCGTGAGTGACGCTGTGGCTCTGTGTGCTGCCCGGCTGCTGTAGGGACGACTCTCTGAAGACCGTCAACCCCATGGTCGACCTCTTCTATGGCCGAGCGCGCTCCATCGGCACCAATCAGGGTCCGGCACCCTCCCCCGCCCCAAACCCAACTTGTACCCCGCACCTACGCCTAATCTTAACCCAGAACACAGCCCTTATCCCCTCACCAGACACCTATTGTTAACCTTGCCACCACTAACCCCCAACCCTAGCCTACCAATAACTCAACACCCATTCCGATCCTTCCTGCTTTGCCTCTCACGCTACAGCTCATCCTCAGTCATGATATCCTTGTAACTTTATCACGAACCCGACCTCGAACCCAACATCTATTCTTACCTTATCATTGCCCCAACCCCCGACCCTACCCTGATAGTTTCACCTGCGTGTTTTCGTGTGCGACCGTGCCCATTCCTGCATGTGTGCGCCTTCCTGTGTGTACCTGTGTGGCTATACCTGTCTGGTTATACCTATACCTGTCTGTGTGCCCATGCCTGTTTGTGCGTGTGTGAGTGTGTGTTTGTATGTATGTATGTATGTTTGGGAGCGGTAGTGTAGCGGTTAGTGCACTGCGCTACGAATCCGGCGAACAGAGTTCGATTCCCGCTCACGGCCAACACCAGTGACAATTATTTGAACCGGTCCTGGGCCTCCCCTAGGTCGACTCAGCCTCAAATCATTACCTGGTTCCTGGGAGACAAAGGCGGGCGGGCGGGCGGGCGTGGTGCTGGCCACCCACCCCCTTGTGTGCCGTGCTGGCCTTCATAGGTGCTCCTGAAAAGCAATTGCTCCAAAACTGTTAAAGGTTAAAAAATATTTATATGGGGGAGGGGGCGATCTTTATCCGTGTGTTTGTGTGTTTAGGGAAGCGGTTTGCGGTGCTCGAGGGCTTCGGACCGCTGCCCGTGCGTGTGTCGGGGTTCCACGACCTCCACGAGTGCCTGGAGCATGCCACCATGGCTGGCGACATCGAGCAGCAGCAGCAGCAGCCGCCTGCTTGCGCCTCCTCTGGGCAAGAGGTACTGGCATCGTGTCTGTTGGTTCCCATGTGATGACGGTGACGTGTGATGGTACCCACGTGGTGGGGAAGCGTGTGATGGTGTTTGGTGGTACTCCGTGTGTCCGTGGTCTCTGTGCGACCGTGATCTCCGTGTGACTGCGATCTCTGCGTGTGTAGCTGTGGTTCTCGGAGCTGCCCCCTGTGCTCACACTCGAGTTGTCTCGATTTCGCTTCAACACGGAGGTTGGACGCCCGGAGAAAATCCACTCCCGACTCGAGTTCCCCGACACCATCTACATGGACCGGTAGCAACACACGAAGAAGCACAGACACGCGAGCTCCGACTCGGAGCACTGAGCGTAACACACAGCGCATTGCTAGGCCATATACTTGCACACTAAGTACTGACTCGCACCGAGTCCTGACACACACCAGCCAACACACACCCTTACCCGGAGTCTCACCAGGTTGCGCAGTGTAGCACACAAACCACTGCACTACCGCTCTCTGTTGACAAACACACACACACACACACCCTACCGCAGGCTCACCAAGAAGCAGCCTAACACAGCTATCACCACACACCCTAACATACATCTTAACACATACTCTTGCCCACCAACAACAGACAACGATCAGTACACATCAACACGTGCGCACTTATCCATGTCTACAAACACGGCAATGCCCACCTACCCACATCCACGCTGGGTTTCACCGATGCCTCATCACACACCACGTTGTTAATCACGGTGGTGTTGATACTGATGGTAACCGTTGCGGTGATGTTTGAAGTTGTAGGATGTCGACAATGGGTGGTCCGTGATGGTGTTGATGGTGACTGTGCGTTGGTGTTGATGTTCCGTTTGTTGACAATCGGGGGGTGGTGATGTTGATGATGATGTCGGGCATGGTTATAATGGGAGATGGTGCTGGTATTGATGGTGGCGATGTTGATAATGTAGGGTATGGTGACGATGGTAGTGATGGTGATGATGATGTAGGTACATGGAGAGTAACAAGGAGGTGACAAGGATCAAGAGGGATGAGATCCGGCGCTTGAGCGAGCAGCAGAGCCACCTCCAGCAAACCCTAGCACGGTAACAGCCTCACCCCACACTTCTCCCCATTTAGCATTTATTGGCTGATTACTGTTCCTCTTCTGCTCGCCCACGCTGCCCTGCTGGGTGGCACCACAGCTTCATGGCCACGTATCAATAGCAGTTGGAATCGGGCCAAACACAGGTGTTTTGTAATGGTCATATATGCACACACATACATTCCCAGTGACTTGATGTGCATTCTTGTCTCATTGTTGTAATGTGTCTCACATTCCCTTGTTTTTGTTCGTCTTTGTCCCCCCGTGTCTCTGTGTTTCCGTGGGTGTCCAGATATCAGAGCTATGGGTCCGGTCCTCAGAGGTACCCGTTGGTTGATATCCTCTCCTGCGCCCTGCAGTTTGCATCCACACCTCCTGCTACTGTCTTGCTCCCTCCTATATCCTTAGCCAATCACAAGGGTTCATCGTCCGCTGCTAAGCCACCTTGCACGCTCTCGACCAATCACGTCACTACATCTCCCACCGTCTCATCCTCTCAAGTAGTCTCGACCAATAACATCGCTCTGTTTCCCATTGCCGAGTCCACTGCAATACCATCAACCAATCACGTTGTTTCATCTCCCGCAGCTTCGCCTCTCCCTGTACTTTCAACTAATCACAGTGATCCGTCTTCCACTGTGCCGCCCACTCCTATGCAGTCAACCAATCGTATTGTTTCATCTCCTACCTCCTTACCTATACCTGTACCTTTAACCAATCACGTTGCGCCATCTTGTGCGACCACTCCCACCCCCACGCCATCAATGAATCACACAGCTCCATCTCCTGCGGTCTTGCCCATTCACATAGCCTCGACCAATCACGTTGCTCCGCCCAGTGTTGTGAAGTCACCGGCCGACCGGGCCTTGTTAGTGGATGACACCGGCCCCGTGTTGATTAATGGGGTCGCCGAACTGGGAGTGGCTCTACCCCCTCCTGATGAGTCATCGAAACAGTCGAAGGCAGAGGCGCTGGATATCAACGGCGATTTATCCGAGAGCGAGAGGTGATGTCGCTCACACACCCACACATTTACACACACACACACGCACTAGTGCATCAATGCCCACTGCATGATGGTGATGATGGAGATACTGATTGGTGGTGATGGTCATGTCGATGATGTTGGTATTGGTGATGGTGGTGAGTAATGGTGTTGGTTATTGTAATGAGGATGATGTCGATGATAGTGGTGGTGATGTTGATGGAGATGCTGATGGTGCTTGATAATGTAATGACGCTGGTGACGTTGATGGTGATGATGATCATGGCGGTGATTTTAATGGCGATGCTGACGCTGCTCGTTAGTGTAATGACGCTTTGCGATGATGACGTTGATGGTGATGATAATGAGCACGGCGTCGATGCTGATGGAGATGCTGACGGTGCTGGGTGATGCTGGTCGTTTCAGCATAGCTGCTCCGGGCTGCGTTGTCGCTGATGATGAAGTTCACCAACAGCGGCAGCAGCCGCAGCCGCAGCCACCTTCTGCAGCAGCCACCGTGGCTTGCGCAGCACCCGAACCGCACCACACGCAAGAACGCCACGGCGCTCGGTCGCGACAGGAGGTCCCGGCGCAGCAGAAGTCCGGCGAGCAAAATCGGACCGGCGATCCACCACCACCCGGGACCGAACAACGGACAGCCGACTCGCAACAGGCCAGTGTGCCGCATCAAGGCAGCCTGCAGCAGGAGGCAATGCAGGTGGACACACTGCAGGAGAACGTGCAGCAGGGAGAAGAGGAGGGGAGCCAGCAAAAAGACGTCACGCAGCAGCAGCAGCAGGAGTTGGCACACGGGGAGAGTAACCGGCAGACGGAGACGCAGCAGCGTATCGACCTGCAGCCGGAGGCAAACCAAGTGAGCTTGCCGCAGGACACGCAGCAGCAGCAGCACCGAGGAAACGTGCAGCAGGAGCATGTGCAACAGGGTACCCCACAGCAAGGAAACTTTCAGCAGGAGAACTCGGAGCAGTGTAAGGAGCAGCAGGAAGGCTCGACACAGCAGTGTGACGTACAGCGGGTGCAGGCGGTCGAGGCGCGGCAGGAGGGGGGGCGCCTGGAGTGGCACGGTTGCCCGGCGCCACAGGCGGTGACGGCGCTGGAGCTGGAGACGATGAGGGCCGTGCTGAGCCGCTGGAACAGCCAGGTGCAGAGGGAGCTGCAGGGTGAGGGCGCATGCACGCACCCACGCACGCACCCACCCACCTACCCACCCACCCACACACCCACACACCCACCCACACACCCACCCACCCACACACCCACCCACACACCCACCCACCTACCCACACACACACCCACCTACCCACACACACACCTACCCACCCACCCACGCACCCACCCACCCATGCCCTTACCCACCCACCCACCCATGCACCTACCCACCCACGCACACAACTACCCACGCACGCACACACCTACCCACGCACTCACACACACCCACACACACCCACACAACTACCCACTTACCAATGCATCCACCCACGCACCCGCCCACGCACATACACGCGCCCACCCACGCACCCACCCACGCACTCTCCCACCCACCCAGGCACCCACCCCACGCACCCACCCTTGCAAGCACGTGCACTTAACAACCCATTTAAATCACAAGACAGCTGCCCGGATTCAAACCCAGGCACGCAGCGATACTGGCTCAGCGCTTTGACCCCCTGAGCTGCCTGGCCACCTCTATGCCGAGGCTGTTAAATGCAGACGTGCACTTGGAACGCCGCTTCGCACGCGGCCTACATGGGAGAGCGTGCACGCACGGCCGTGGGGCGCACGCCGAGTGACGTCTTTACTCCCCTTCTTCTTGGCTCACTGGTGCTCGCTCCATCTTCCTAAATCCCCTTGCTTCCTCACCCCGGCTATGTATTTGTCCCAGCCGCCTCTTTCCTCCCCTCTCTCCCCCCAGCCATCTCCATGTCTCTCTCTTCCTTCTCGACTCCTACTCTTGCCTCTCTGTGTTAACCCCTTTCCCGTTGCGAGGCGTCTGCAAGTTGCAGGGTGGGTCCCGTTGTTTTAAAGACATTGTCCTCACCGCAGAGAACTGTAGCGACACGATCGCACTCTATGATAGCTGGCCACAAACTGTGCCACACGCCCTCCCGCATGGCCTTGTGGGAGTCTCGGTACCGATTGAGATATTTTATTTTGAGATTTTTCTTCCGGTTTCGTTTTGGTTATGTACACGCACGTCATCGGAACGGGAAAGGGTTACTTACTCTCTTTCTCCTTCCGTTTAATTTTGTTGTCGCACTCATATTCCACTCTGTTCCTTTGTGTCTTTTGTCCTATCTGGTTCCCTCGCCCACTCCCCGTCTGCCTCCGTCTCCCCCGCTTTGTCTCTGTGTCCCTGTCTATTTATTTTTCACCAGATCTTCAGGACAGCATCTGTCGAATCAAAAGAACCATCGACTTAATGTACACGGACAAGACCTTTAGACAGGTACACACACACATGCATATGCACTCGAGTGTCAATTTATTTTGTTTAACCAGGAGAAACTCAAGGCCACCAGGATGGTCTCATTTGCGGGATGGATGTAGGTCACAAAATTACAGGAAGAAATCGGAAACAAAACCACTGTATCATGAGGAATCAGAAACAGTTGCAAACACAAATCAACGTTAAATCAAAGCCAGGTATTAAATTCCTTGCAGCGCAAATGGGATTGGTTAGATCACCTGCAGATTGATCACAGCACAAATTACAAAACTAAACATGAAGCCGATATCGGGTGACTATAGCACTAATATGTAAACAGAGAAGGATGTATGGCGACAGCCATGTTATTCTTGCTGTTTGCATCTGTGTGCGTGTGTGCGCGCGTGCGGTGGGAGAGAGTGGCAGTACGCTGTTTTGCTGGCCACCCACCCCATCGTGTGCCGTGTCGGCCTTCATAGGCTGCTCGCTAACAGCACTTTCCCCGACAATCTGTTAAGGCTATATGGGGGATCGTTGTCTTTGTACCTGTGTGTGCGCGCGTGTGTTGTGGCACCGCGCCCTACCCGTGCGCAGCTCCCGTACCGGCTGCACGCCGTGCTGGTGCACGACGGGCAGGCCATGGCGGGACACTACTGGGCGTACGTCCGCGAGCACGCACGTCTGCCCGCCGCCAGCACCAGCAGCAGCAGCAGCAGCAACACCACCAATGGCAACAGCGCAAGCTCCAACAGCAACAGCGTTGGTGCGAGTGAGGAGAGCTCGGGCTCCGGCTCCTGCTGGCGCAAGTTTAACGACGTGCGCGTGAGCCGCGCCTCCTGGGCCGAGTTGGTGCGCGACTCGTACGGAGGGGGCGCGCGCAGCGCCAGCGCGTACTGCCTGGTGTACGTGAACGCCCATGCGCACGAATTCACTACCGGTACGTGACCACGCACAAAGACAAAGAACCCCCATATAACTCTCACCGAACTGTTGGAGCAAGTGCTGATAGCGACATATGAAGGTCGGCGCTTCGCAAGAAGGGGTGGGTGCTCAACACCCACGCCCAGTCTCCTTTGTTTCCCAAGTGACGATTTTTTACACGAGTAGACATAGGGGAGGCCCCAGGACCGCTTCAGATATTGGTCACCGATGAGTGGGAATCGAATCCGATCCATCGGGTTCGTAGCCCAGCACGTTAACCACTACACTACTGCTCCCCACAAATGCACACACACACAAAGCTTGAACAGACTGTTGGGGCAAATACTGTTAGCGAGCACCTATGAAGGCCGGCACGCTCACACAGACGAGCACACGCACGTAATGATAACTCGACGCACTCGCGCGAGGCTCTTGTCATATGTGTGTTTTAGAATATATACGTTTGCGTGCGTGCGTACGTAGAGCTGGCGGGCGAGGCCGTGGGCGACCTCTCCTCCCTGTCGCCCGCCCTGCGCGACCTCGTCGTCAAAGACAACCAACGCTTCCTGTCGGAGATGGCGGCGCGGGGCAATGGGCCGGAGCGGCCCGCAGAGCCTGACGGGGGGGACACGCGGGAGCCCGGGCAGCGCGCGGAGCCGCGTGAGCACGAGCAGGAGGAGCGCCGGCACGAGCAAGCGCCCGCACGGGCGGGCCCGCCGCCGGCGGCACCTTCACGCGAGGGCGAGGGGGCCTCGCGCGAGCAGGAGCGGGCGGACAAGCACTCGCAGACGAACTCGCTCGAGCAGGAGGCGGAGCCGACGCGCGAGCACGTGAACGGACGGGCGCGTGCGGGCGAGCGAGAGGAGACGCGCGAGCGCGATGGGCGCACAACGGACGTCGCATCGATCAGTGAGTTACGTGCGCGTGCGCGAGAGTGAGCGTGCGCGTGGTTGGGCCGTGGCGGGCCGACCTTCATAGGTGCTGCTCGCTAAAAACACTTGCCTTGACAGTCTGTTCCGGCAACATGGGGGGATCTTTGTTTTTCTGTGCGCGTGGGAAGCAGGAGTGTTGTTGTGGTTAGCGCCACTCTGCTACGAACCCGGCGAGTTTGATTCCAGCTCACGGCCAATAACGATGGAGAATATTTTAAACAGTCCTGGGCCCTCCCCTCGGTTAACTCCGTAGCTGAAGTGGTGTGTACATGGGCTACGTGCTGAGTGACCACGTGCCCACAGGGACAGCTGCCACCGGGGGTGCCCTTACAAATGTTTGATATGAGATGTGATATAAAGCGCTCTGAGCTATCCCAGTGAACAGGAGGGCGCTCTATCAGATTATAACCATGATTCTTTATTGCTCTCAACAAGGGCTATTGCCCCAACACTATACCTGTCACAGTATCATTTTTTTTTTTTTCTGGGAGGCGAGACCCAGAGGCATGGCAGTGAGGCGGACGGATCTGCGTCTCTGCCTGGCCGTGAATTGACTCCAGCCCCGTCACCCTCACCTTCAGGCACGGAGGAATACATGAAAGTAGGCCCGGACACGCCGACGGAAAAGGCAAGTGTTTATCATCATCAGCGTCGTCGTCATCTCTGGGATTATCATCGTCGTCGTTATTATCATCCAAGTGATTATAGTCCTCTTAATCATCATCATCATCATCACGATATTTCGTAATTTATTTAACTTTTCGCTATCTTGTTTCAATATGCTGAAGTAGTGCATATCTCTCTGACACCAATCTCTTATGTCTGCATCAGGCCATTCTCTGTTAGGTCTTCCTCTCTGTCCTGTTCCTTCCACACCACTTAATTTTCCTGTTAAAGTTCATCCTACATATATGTCTGAATAGTGCCAGTTTCTCTCCCATCGCTGCCTGCATCATCAGGTCTTCTCCTACGTGCAATCTTTTTCTTACTTCTACATCGGTCACTCTTTGGGTCCGGCTCAGATGCAGTTATCCTTCTTCATTATCATCACCGTCGCCGTCATTCCGGTGTGGTGGAGCCCAGCGGTGACGCATCACGACACCGCACGCCGTTCACCTTTTCAGCGATTGACCCCTGTGCTGCGCCCGTCTCGTCCGTGTGCCCGTGTGTTCGTGTGTCCGTGTGCCCGTCTCGTCCGTGTGCCCGTGTGCGTGTGTGCGTGTGCGCGTGTGTGCCTGTGTGCGTGTGTGCCTGCAGCCCAGGGTGGAGCGCGTCGTCGAGGTCTCCATCCCGGACGTGGGGACCATCGTCGTCCAGGCGGAGGAGCATGGCTACAACGACGAGGTGAGGGGGGGGGAGATGCGGGGGACACGCGCAAGGTGAACGGGAGATAAATAGGACGCACGGGGAGGTGAGGGAGACACTCGGACACAGGCAGACGGCGTTGAGACAAATGGGACTTGGCGTGCGGTGTGCATGAAGCATCACCACTGGGGGACAAAGGCGGCCAGGCTTCGTGCTGTGCACAGCACCCATTCATGCGCTCTGCTGGCATTAACAGGACCTCGCTGACATCACTAGCCCCACACATCGCTAGCCCCACACGTCGCTAGCCCCACACGTCTCTGACCACACGGTGGATGTTTGTGCGTGCGTGCGAGTGCAGGTGATGCTGACGCCGGCCATGCAAGGCGTGCTCATGGCGGTCGCTCGAGCCCGGCTCGTGCGCGAGGCTCAGGGGCCCGAGGCCACCCTCATCGAGGTAACTGTCGCCGCGGTAACCGGCTGCTCTGAGAGCTGCCGTTACCATGGAGACACGGCGTCGACATCCCTGGGTTAATTTGTAGGGTTGCTGCTTCCCTCGAAGCTTGAACCGGGTCTTCGTGTGTCGCGCGTTTGTGTGTGGTCCACACGATGTATTTATTGGTCGGCACAATGCGCGTATACACGGCGAGTTGGACAGAATAATCGATGACAATGAGCTTCATAGCTCATCGGATTTCTCCAGAATTAAATGAAGATTCTGTGATGGTAGCACACCAGCAGATAACTTGAATCTTTCTGTGCGGACCTTGTTTACCCTCCTCGTACGCCGTGGTAAGCTCTCTCCGCATACTCCGGTCTCCTCTCACATTGCACCGTCCGCGTGCCTCTGTCCCCCCACCCCCCCACCCTGCGTGCCTCTGTCCCCCCACCCCCCCATCCCCCCACCCTGCGTGCCTCTGTCCCCCCACCCACCACCCCCCCACCCTGCGTGCAGGCGTTCCGCGTAGAGTACGCGCGCCTGAGAGCCCTGGCGCAGGAGTCGTACCCGGACGCGTCCTCGCCCGCGTCGCCCCCCCTGGCGCCCGCGGGCACGTCGGGGGCGGCGGCGGCGGCGTGGCGCGGCCGTGAGGAGCGGCTGGAGCACGTCGTCATCTACCTCTTCCAGAACGAAGCTCCCAACCGCGTGGTGGAGCGCGCTCTGCTCGAGCAGTTCGCCGACCGGAACTTGAGCTACGACGAGCAGTGAGGCCCTAGTGCACCGATTCCCTGGTCCCACTCGCCTGTCTCCTGAAACAGTCCCAAGCCACTGGTCCTGAACACCCGTTTTCCTGGAACAGAGCACCAATTCACCGATCCCCAACCCCAGTTTCCTAGACACTAAATATAATTTTCATGGAACAGTCGTATGCCACTGATCTTGATTACCCAGTTATCCGATTGTATTCGTAGTCACAGCTCGGCTCTGACGTGGCCTCTAACGCTCAGGCTTGAACTGCTCGGTTTGCTTTCAAAGAAGAATGAGTGGGCTCAGCCGTGGCTCGCTCAGGGCTCAGCTCAATTGAAATCCTGAACATGGCTGGGGCCGTCCTCAGAGCCGGCTCAAGTAAAGCGTCGGGTTTGAGACGGCTCAATCGAGCCAAGCCTGAGCCCAGTCGTGACCTAGAATGCGAGTCTAGAATTCGGTATTGTGAATGCAAAATGTGCGTGTGTCTTTCTCACTAGGCTCATTAAGATCATGAAGGTTGCTCAGGCGAAATTGCAAGAAATCAGTCCTGAGGATATGGATCCAGCTGAGTACCAGGTGTGTGATCTACCACCTACAGCTCCACACACAACCCTCAAGAAACCCGCATGTACAGGTAGTCCTCTACTTACGATGAGAAGCGTTACGACGACCCCCATTGTAAGTCAAAAATACCGTAAGTTGCAGATGGCCTAGCTTACCCAGGAGTCTTAGAGAATGGTGATAATTTAGCAAAACAGAGAAATTTACAGTACCGTACTGTATAAACTATATACTGTATTTATTAATTACAATACTGTATTGCTAACACCGAGACAACTTAACTCCGTCGACCGCTGGTGAGAGTGAGGCATCACCACACAAGGCGGGAGATGCGTACAGTACATCTCGGCAGCGTCCCAACGTACAATATCGCACCTCGTATGCTGCTGCGTTTGCCTGCCGCGCGAAATTACAAATATTTTACAATTTTGTCGTATCGCCATCGTAAGATGGAAATATCGTGAGTCGGACCATCGTAACTCGGGGACTATCTGTAGTGTATGTGTACTCTTTGGTTCTTTCCGTAAAGTCACGTAGGTAGAAAATCATAGATCGCGACGTTTCGATCGCAACACAAGCGAATCGTCATCAGGTGAGACAATTACAGCAGGAAAACTGCTGAAGTGTATGGATATATGGGGAGCGGGTGTGTTGCGGTGTAGCGCACTGCGATACGAAACCCGAGTTAGATTCCCACATGTGGCCAACACCAGTAACAATTATCTGAACCGGTCTATGCCCACCCGTAGGTCGACTCAGCCTCAAATGAGTACCTGGTGCGGTGTGTAAGCATTGCTACTGGGGAGGCAAAGGCAGTCGGGCGTGATGCTGGCCACCCCCACCCCCTCGTGTGCCGTTCCAGCCTTCATAGGTGCTCGCTCACAGCACTTGCCCCAACAGTCTGTTGAGGCTATACGGGGATCTTTGTCAAATGTATTGATGTGCATATGTAATTGTAATGCACGTGTGTGTATGTGCTTTATCTGTATGCGTGTTTGTGTGTTTTTTTCTTTATAGAAATGGCACCAGGAGTATGAGCTGTTCCGGCAAGTGTGTGTTTACCTGGTTATGGGCATCGAGAAATATCAGGAGGGCAGGTACCACACTGTGTGTGTGTGTGAGATTGAGAGTGAGTGTGGCTGTGTGATCATTGAATAGTGAATATCAGTTACCTCGGATCAGCAGTGCAAAGAACTGGCATCGTTAAGTAGCGTACAGAGAGATTGGGCTCAGGTAAACATAGAGACTGCCGGCAATTTGTTGCTACTAAGTGGCAGTGACTTCACCATAGCGCCTGTGCCAGACCAGGTGTACTTTTAGGTCACGTGAGGTGTCAAAGGCTCGCTGACAGGAGATCACGGGACAGACCCAAGTGCCATGTGCTCCGCACTGTGCCAACTGCTGTGTTTTATCCGCCCGGCGCTCCGCTCCTTGTTGTGAGCGTCGCATCTCTGCCCTCTATTGGAGAGCAACTGCCTCCCAACTACCGAGTAGCATCTTTCACGAGCCTCCTCCATCAGCAAATCTACTTATCTCCACATCTTCCTGTACCACATCAGCTCATCTCTTCTCTAGCCCATGCCACACCCATTTAGTCCCCCCTGGCCAAACAAAGCCTGCTTGGGCAAGCGGTGGTTGGGCGTGCGGGCTTTATTATTGAACATCAGACACACACCTATGTAATGTGTAGTGCACAGGGATTCCACGGTGGTTCAATTTCAAAGTGAGGCCGGGGTTTACAAACAGCTCATCGAAGCCTCGGCCTCTAAATTAAACGCAGAGACACACGGCTCAAAGTCTTGTCTTGTGTACATGTGTGGTGTTTTATGGCGGCCGGGCGTGGTGCTGGCCACCCACCCCCTCGTGTGTCCTTCCGGCCTTCGTAAGTGCTCGCTAACAGCACTTGCCCCAACGGTCTCTTGAAGCCATACGGGGGGGGATCTTTGTCTTTTGTGCGCCCGTGTGCCCTTGTGTACGCGTGCAGGTACACGGAGGCGCTGCCGTGCTTAATGCACGCGCATGCGGTGAACGAGGAGCTGCTGGCGCGCGGCCAGCGCCGGGGCGTGCGGCGCGACGTGCTGGTGCGCTACCGCAGGGTGTGCGTGCGGGTGAGGCTCTGCTCCTGGCTTGCTCACTCGCGAGCCACACCACCACCGCCCTCACACTCGACAACAACAACAAACGGCCACCACTCACCACTAAGTGGCCAGTGACATCACCACAATGCTTGTGCCAAGCTCGGTGCGCTTTGATGCCGTCGCGTGAAGTGCGGAAGACTCTTGCTGCCGGCAAGAGCGTCACGGGTCAGACCCAGGCATTTTGGACAATTTGCTGCGTTTTACGTTTGTATGTTGAACTTATTTTGCACCGTATTTAGCCAACCGTGCTAATGGGAGGTTTAAGCTGCCTGGCCACGAGCAAAGGCATAGCCAGGCACGTCGAGAATGTCACTGTATTGGTGCCAGATGAGCTCTTGTTTTACCCTCACAAAGTCTTGTCTGCTCGTCAACGACCCCCACACCGATTGGTCCGGCATCGAGTCGGTTCCAACTCTCCTTCCCCGTGCTCCCTCTTCCGCCGTCTTCCTTCTCTCTCCCCGCGCCGCCCCAGCGAGTCAACGAGGCGTGCGCGCTGACGTTCGGCACCGGGGACGTGGCCCAGGCCACGCGCTCGCTCGCCGTTATGACGGAGCTGGTGCTGCCTGCCATGGCGCTCTTGGCCCCGCTGGGCAGCTCCTGCGAGGGCGGCGACGCCGGGGACGAGGCGGCCGTGGCCAGGGAGTCCGACCTGTGCGCCGTCGAGCTGATGCGCGACCGCTGGTGCTCCTACCTCGGCCGCGACGACATGGCGTGTGAGGGACCGCACGCCACGTGCCGCGCTTAGCTCGCAGCACGCCGCACAGAACAGCTCGGGTCGCAGCACACCGGCCGCCCTGGCCTAACGTCTCGAACCACACCGCACTCACCGCACCACACAGTGGCCACTCTCAAAATGGCAACGATGCACTGACCGGGACGCACAACGCTAAATGAAGACACAACGCTGGCCACATTTGAGTTACTCCACCCACACTGACCGAGCACTCCACACTGACCAAACACTCCACACTGACCAGTTGACTGTCGCCCTCCCGCAGCCGAACTCCAGGAGCTGCTCACCGACTTCCTGCCGCGGCTGCTGGACTACCAGCCCGAGCCGGCTCCGCCGACACAGCTCACTCCTCCTCCCCTGCAGGGGCCGCCACCACCGCCGCCGCCCTCCGAGCCCCGCAAATGCGAATCTTCCGGCGACAACTGGCGCGGCCTGCGGGCCCCGCCACGCCTCAAGGCTTACTCGCCCCACACGCTTGCCGAGAAGATGGCAGAAGTGCTCAGGGTGAATCGGCCGCGCGAGGCGTAGCGAGCGAGCGGGCAGGGCGTGGGGTTAACGGGGGCGGGGGCTGCTCACCCGCAGAACTGATTCTCAGCGCTGTTGTTTTGATGCTAGGAACTTTGCCGGCTCTTCCCGGAAATTCCGCAAATGCTTCCTTTTGCTGCGAGAGTTTTCCCAGCTTTGGGGGAATTCCCTCGAATGTTTTCTTTGGCCCTGGAATATTTATCAGCACTTCCCAGGAACTGAGCTGCCACTTCTTGCGTTGGCAATAGAGGGATTTCTTAGTTCTCCTCGGGAATCCTGAAAATTATTCCTTCCGCTCTGAGGGATGTCACTGTTCTTCCCAGATATCGTAGAATGATTCATTTTGTCTTTGGAGGTGAAAGAGCATTCTCAGCTCTTCCTGGGAATTCTGCAGGTCCTTAGACTCTTCTTCAGCATCAACACACACAAAACCACCATTCCTGGAAACATCCCATTTCAGAATTTGACTTGCGGATATTGGACCACGCCACTGGAACACAAAGGTCTACCCTTGTGAAGGACGCCACGGGTTCTTTAATGTCCACTTCACAGCAGGCGATGCACTCTGGTTGATGATGATTGTGATAAGAATAACATCTGACGAAAATCACAGGGCAGTGATGGGTGATGGAACCGTCGACTCAGAGCAAACTGTCAAGCGTCGAGCGTGCTCAAACAACGGTCCGCCTGGCCGCCGCCATTAGTGGCGGAAGATTTTTCCACCTCTTTCCGGGAATTCCCCGTGTGTGTCCGTGCGTGTATCCGTGCGCGTGATCTACAAAGCGTGTGCAAAGTCTGGCTTGTGATCCCATGGGAAGTATTTTTTTTCCACAAACCCTCCCCCCCTTGTGAATGATGCCCTGACACCTGGGAAAAGTTATGCGCTGTACGTAAACTCCGGGAAAGATCCCCGGCACGCTTGCCAAAGTCTTAGGGAAGAGCCCGTTGCTTGCCGTGTCCTCAGCAGGCTCTCCCTCGCTACATCCCGAGCCCACATAACTGTCACGCTTGTGTTTTGCCTTGTGCTCGTCTCAAAACAACGCAGCAGCGCCGAGAACTCCTCGACTGGCCATGGTCATGAGCTTGAAACGAGGACTGCGCCGTCCGTCATCCTTGGGCCGGCGTTGATGTGAAGAAGCGATCACGCGACGTTTTAAACTTTTAAAGTGCAATTGAGGGAATGGGGGTTGCAGGGGGTGGGAAATTAAGAGGGACGACCCCGTGTAGACACGACCACAGAGACATCGCGATGGGCAAAGATAAGCGTTGGTTTGCGTCGGTCTCTGTCCTTGATCGTCATGGGACAGTTGATCAGCCTCTCGCACACCTTATGTATTTGTGTTACAAGTTTTGAGCTCGGTCACAGGCGAACTGAAAGAAAGTTTGTTGACGTATTTAGTTTTGTTCTTTTGGTCGAAATTGCAGGCAGGCAAGCCGGTGGTCACCTCCCGACCGTGCGGGTCAGATAATTGAAAGACGCTCTCGATCTGAAGTGTTAGCTCCGATGCCCGCGCAGGGATGCGGAGTGAATTAACGATGCTTTGCCTGGTATCCAGATGCCACGAAGTCGGATAAAATTTGTTACAAAGTATTGAAACTGCTGAATCTTGACCCATCTCCAAAACCCAACGTGTCCTTCATGTCTACGTGGGCTTGTCCCTAGTACCTGTTGTTTGTGTCTCTCATCTCGCTCTCTCGTCCTGTCGGTCTTGCACCATTTCCCTCCCATGTTTTCACCTCCCCCACACTCCACTTTAGCTTCACACTCCGGAAACGTTGCATGACAAAAGCTCTTCCCATCGGGAGTTGAGGGAGCAGGCGCTTTTGTGACGCTACCACTGGCGGGGCGGAACCGTTGCTCCGGTTGCTTGCCAATGGTTAGTTTAACACGTAGTAGGCTTTCGCGACCAATATCCATAATAAAGGTTTTTTTTAGTTAGCCATGAATATAAATGTGCCGTTAAACCCGCCACCACCCGACACGAACAATTAGTAAGGTTTGTCACGTAAACAGAACATGCCAATTCGTGCCTAGTTCAGTACATCTGTGTGTTGGAGAGTAAACCCACAGCATTTACAATTCCAGTTTTGTGGGGTTACTTTCCAACGCACCCGTGTGCTGAGCTCGTAATGAATTGGCACGTTTTGTTTACGCGACAAAACCATTACCAGTTGGCTGTATCGGGTGGTGGAGGGTTTAAGGACACATTTATATTTAAGCGATCTAACCCAAAAAAAACCCTCTTATGCTTGCTAATGCTCACGTTGGTTTGCCGTTTGTGGATCTCAACACACGTCCCACTGCACCCCCCCCCCCGCTCTGCTTGCCGAGTCCGTGAGCATCCGTCGTGGACGGGGGTCAATGAGTGTCTCGTGTCGTGTGAACATCACTCCCAAGAATGTGGAGAAATTTAAAATAATAATTGCACCTTGCGAACTGGCACAGTTAATGCTGTCCGGCCAACATGAATCTAGATCCACCACGGGCAGCTCGCCGGCTAGTGGGAGAGAATCGGTGCAAAAGGCAATGACTAAGAGAGAGGGCGCCACTGTGCGGGTTATGTGAATGTTTTGATTGCGCACAGATGTCCTCCTAGTCGGGCGCTATGTGTCTGGACACTGAAGCATTTCAATTAATTCCAGATTCCCCCTCCAGGAGTTGTGTGGTCACACGATGTTGTGGAACAACCTGGACGTCACATCGCAGGCTTTTGACCAATCTCACACAACCACCAAATCCTCGTCCTCCTGCTGTGCGCATGAGCGGTTCGCGGCCGTGCCTATCTTTGTCTGCTCAACAAGCCCCCTCGGTTGTTGAAGCAGTTCAAGCTAAGTACGTTCGTTTGGACGCTGCATCCTGCATTGCAGCAGTTGCCATTCAACGATTCGCAATCTAATGTTACGATATGGAGTCGTATCCAAATTAATTTTTGTCGTCGCATGTGTTCCGTCTCATTTGCACCGTTAAGCCTGAAGGTTGCGTTTGCGTATCGTGCATAATGTCCATTGAATTCTGAATGCGCACAACCTTTAAGCCACGTATCTTGAACGTAAGAATTTCAGTTGGAGAATTGTTACAGGTGTACACACTTGCTATTGTGTTGCTCTGCGCTTTTGTAGTCTTCACAGGTGATGGCCTGTCGCGGGAGTCACTGCGTGGAGGAGTGGGCAGGGCAGTCGCAGGAAGCAATTTCCCTTCGTCCTCTCACCCACAAGTGGGCCTGGCAGTAAACAGCCCCGGTCATCATGGCTTATCGTCTAAAAATAATGCCCAACCTCCACACCGACACGGTGTCCTGACAGAGCCAGTGTGACCCCCCCTCCCCCCCGATGGATGACAACCCCATTGGCTGGTTTCACTTAGTTTATTTAATGCAGTAAGTAAAACAAAATGGGAAACTACAAAGAGTATTTAATGGTACTGGCTGGAGGGGTTGGCTCAACGCCCTGACATGGCCGTTGTGAACCCAAATACTGTACTTTATTTTTAAGATTGAGGTGTGGTGTGATAAATGCCGCGATGCCAATCCCCGCTGTTCGAGTCTGTGGGCCTCTCGGTCGGTGAAGTGCGTTTGCTTTTGTGTTGAAGTGCATTTGTTGCCTGCATTTAAGTTTTTTTATGTTTAAAAAAAAAAACAGATGAAAATAAGCTTGACTCAATTTCCCACCAGTTTTCCCTGCTACACTTTCAAAGGGTCTGATACATGTCACAGGAAGAAAATACTATCAGCCCACAATGCTGCCGTTGTGTATGGCTCCTTAAATGACATTGGTTTAAAACCCACTTTTCCACAATTTAGTGCTTCGGAACCAATATTTACCCCCCCCCCCCCCCCCCCAGTGGAATGGTTCACTGCCACTGTTCTCCCGCGCTTATATAATACCCATAACACCACTCTTCAGAGCTGCAACCTAAGGTGACGGGAAGTGTATCTAAATACGACGGGAGACCACTGGTGAAATGCCAGCACCGCAGCGGGGTAGCATGGGTCTCGCGCAGCGTCGCTTGGGCATGGAAAATCGGCGCTCCGCATCGAGAATGGACGACGGAGAAACATCCACAGCCTGCGCAGTCATTCAAGCACAGCTACCCACACAGCCGCTCGCAAACAACCGTGATCCACGTCACATGCGCAAACCACTATACTTCTGGACTCAAAAGAATCGCTTACGTGCAACAACACAGTCGCCAAGTTACTACTTGTGCGTCGCACGCAACGCACGCACAGTCGCACTTTAATACACGACCGCCAAAGCACGCGTGTACATTCTACTGAACTTACACAATGTTAATGCTGCTAGAGCGAGCGATAAGACGTACAAATGTATATTGTTACACGCAGCAAACTCTCGCCGGGGGACGGAACCGTATTCGTCTGTCATGCGAATTGTACGCACGGTACGTGCGAGGTTTTCACGGCGGTCGTCCGGGTGTTGTTCTCCAGTGCTGCTTTAGCTGTGTTTGACGCAGCATTGAGACTGACCCACAGTAATGGTTATGCTCCACCTGTATATCAAATAAAGACAGCGGACATTAACTGGAGAGGTTTTTGGGTGCGTGTGTGTGTGGTGGTAAGTGTGCAGGTAAAATATAGTGTCGACAGTGATCATGTTGTGATGGGACGGTGGATGATGGAGGTTAAACAAAAAAAAAGCAGGCACTTGATTCCAAATGTGCAGGTTTCCAAAATGTAAACTTTATTTAAATAAAGTATCATACAAACGCTTCATTTACATTCAAAGTCATTTTCGGACTGCTGCCACACAGGTTTGTGTTTTCACCGTCTGACATTGGACAAGACTGTAAACAGCCTCGTGTAAGAGACACCGAGCCCCCGTGCACCCCCAAGGCCATGTGCACGACACCACTGGTAATTGGCATACTAATAGAACACGGGCCTCTCCCAAGTTCACTGAAATTAGTGTTCACTGTAGAGTGCAAATACCAAAATAGCGTTTGCAACAATGGTCTTTGGGGGCGAAATTGGGGATATTTGCCTGAATGCAGAAGTGTGAATGTGCACACTTTCATATTTGATTGTGGGCAGCAGAGGGCAGTGCAGGAAAATCCATCAATGTGCTTGTGCTCCGACATGTATGCGCTTTCTCCCCGTTCAAACCGCATTGACCAGAGTAGTAAAGTATGGTCAATGAACTCCCGTGAAACAATATGACAAGTGGAGTCTCATTGATTTGTGGACTTTACATGTGTGTTAATGTGTGTTAATATGTGTGTGTGTGAATGTGTTAGTGTGGTAATGTGTGTGTGTTAATGTGTGCGCGTGTGTGCGTGCACGAGCGATACACTCCGCTTCTCCTGACGTGGTTATCTGGCTTGACCACCCGAATGTGAAATTGTCGTTGTTACTCTGCATCTACATAAGCCATACGAAAGAGGTGGAGTGTATGTCCATGTATACATGTGCGTGTGCAAGCGTTTACGTCTGCGTGATTCAGTGGTGTGGAAGTGATGACGTACGTGCTCTTCCGCGTGCGTGTTTATGCATCTGCGGTGCTGGATTGTTGTTCGCGCGCGTCGACCGATATCGGCGCGCGCGAGCGACGCGTCGTCACGTGAGTCCGGGTAGACTGCCCGGCGGCGCGAGGAGCACGCCCGCCGCGTACAGCAACCCCACGGCCAGGCCGAGCCTCGCCGTGCCCTGCGGCACGTCCCTGAGCGTGCCGGCGCGGAACCGCCGCTCCAGCCTCAGCGCCAGCGGCAGCGCGGCGAGCGGCGCCGCCAGGGTGGGCGCGCGCAGCCTCGCGGCGCCGGCGGCGAGGCCCGCGAAGGGCAGCAGCAGCAGCGCGATGTAGAGCGCGTACGAGGCGGCCGGGCCCATCACCATGGCGAGCGTGACGGCGCCGGCCGCGCGGTCGCCCTCGGCGTCGCGCGCGTTGTTGGCGTGCAGCGCCGCCTGCGCCAGCAGCGCCAGCGGGAGCCCGTAGGCCAGGGGCCCCGCGGCGAGGCGGCCCGTCTGCGCCGAGAAGGCGAAGAGCACCGAGAGCGGGCCGAACGTGACGAAGATGAGCGCGTCGCCCATGGCCACGTACTTGAGGCCGATGCCGCCCGTGTAGAGGAAGGAGCTGGAGAGGCCGCCGAAGTAGAGCAGCGCCAAGTGCTCGTTGCGCAGCGGCGACGCGGCCGCCAGCGCCAGGGCCCCCGCGCAGCCGGCGCTGTAGAGCAGCGCGCCCAGGCGCACCACCTGCGCGGGCGCCAGCAGCCCGTCCACCAGCGTGCGGTCGTCGCTTCGGTGGTCCCCCGAGTCCACGCCGCGCGCAAAGTCGTAGTAGGTGTTGACGAGGTTTCCGGCGCCGTGCACGCACAGCACGCACGCTAGCGTGGCGGCGAACGCCGCGGGGCGGAACGTGCCGTCCGCGCGCCACGCCAGCGCTGCGCCCAGCGCCACGGGCGCCAGCGACGCGCCGAACGACCACGGCCGCAGCGCCCGCCAGTGGGCGCGCCAGCGGCGGTTGCGCAGCCAGCGGCATGCGCGTGAAACCGAGCCGCCGCCGCCACGAGCACCAACTCTGGTAAAGTCGCCGCCGCCGCCGAAGGGATCTTTTACGGAGTGCCATTCGCCGGTGCCATCTCCGGTTTCACTGCCGCCGTTAGCAAATCCGTTGGAATGGAGTCGCCCGCCCACGGAACCGCCGTTTCCAGTGGGAAAGCTGTCGCCATGCAGAGCTGGGCTGTGGCCCGGGAGAGCCGAGTCTTCGCCTGCGTGCAGGCTGGCGCCGGCAAAGGGCCCCGGCGCGGCCAAGGGGGCGCCGTCATCCATGATGTTGAGATGGAGCTCGGCGGCTGTGGGGGCAGGAGGTCGCGCTGACAAAGCCATGAAGAGAAATCACCAAGAGCACGGAGTCATCTCCTGTGGGCGGCACCATCATCATCAACATCACCACCAGCATTTGCATCACCATTGCACGTGTATCATCTCATTTTTTTCCGTGCTTATGTTGTATTTGTTTTGGCCCATGTCCCTATTGAAAAATCAATTTTCCGTCTCACTGGGCTATCAGATGTATTTGTTAAACAACGCCCATTACCTTTAATTTTAGGTGGCCAAATACCGCCGAGATCCTGAGCACCAATCTGCGCTTCAGCCATTGTGATAAAAAAACATTCTCAAGTTTAGCAAGTTGATGGATTAGTTTGGTGACCGATAATACCAGCATTTACATAAACCCTTTAACTCAGTATATTTCATCCAGGGCATGTTTCCGCCACTTTGTAAATTAAGATGCAGCTTTGTGGATTCATAACGACTCCTCCACAATTACTATCAACTCTCTATCACAAAGGCTTCCACTCTTCAGAAAACGTCGAGTTCTGAAACTCGCCGAGACGACCTGATACCGAGTTTTATCCGCTTTCAGTTCAACCTGCTTCCAGTTCGACTGCATTTTATTCACCCGACAGAGTCCACGCGTTGTATCTAGCAATCGTCAAACCCACAAGGCCCCCCCCCCCCCCCACGTGTTTCTATCACTTCTTAGCATTCGCCTATCCACCACCGTCCCAGAAAACGCACTGAAGAGCTCACACCGACCGACCGGCGTGGTGAAGTATGGTCAAAACAACCCCCCCTCCCACGTGAGACGCAAATGGCTGGCGGACACCAGAGCCTGGCGGGGGGGGCATGGTTTAAGTGTGTCAGTCGTGGGGGGAGGTTGTTTGACCATACTTCACCACAATGGTTCGCGTGGGATGGTGAAGGATGCACGTGGGTGACCTTAAGCCTGCGAAGGGTCTGCAAGGCTCACACGCTTGGGCACCGCGTTGAGACAGCGCCCTCTAACAAGATGACGGTGTTGATGATGAAAGTTAATGTTTTTAAATGTTGATGGCGAGGATGCTGATGATGATATCACCTCCTCGATGTTGCGATAATGTTGATAGTGAAGACGGTGAGATTGTTGATGGTCACGGTGGTGATGATGTTGATGGTGAGGTCGTTAATAGCGACGGTGGTTAGTGATGGTGAGGTCGTTGATGATATGGTAATAGTGGTGGTGGGGTTGTTGTTGACGATGATGATGTTGTTAATAGCGTTACTTTAATGTTGATAGTTATACTTTAATATTCTTGGGTCTTTCGGAAAAGTCACGCAGATAGCGGTCGTCTTCCTGGCGGCTTGTGTTGCGATCGAAACGTCGTTTTTTGTTATTGTATTTGAACCTATCTACGTGACTTTATCGAAAGACCCAATAACGTAATATAATGTTGATGGTGTTGATGATGTAATGTAATGTTGATGGAGACGTCTTAATTATGACGTTGATTTTAAGATAGTGAAGTGTTCCTGATATGGATGTTGTTGATAGCAAAGTGATGGTGAAGTGTGGATGTTAGCGAATGTTGTTGATAGTGAATGTTGTTGTTAATGTTACTGTTGTTAATGTTGTTGTTAATGTTGTTGTTGTTGTTGCCACTCACGCGCCCGCAAGACGTGGCGTGGTCACCGGGTCAAAGGATCCGAACCCATTCGTGGATCCGGATCCTGTAGCGAAACACGAGGATCCGGATCCTATAGCGAAACACGAGGATCCGGATCCTGTAGCGAACCACGTGGATCCGGATCCTATAGCGAAACGCGAGGATCCGGATCCTATAGCGAAACACGAGGATCCGGATCCTATAGCGAAACGCGAGGATCCGGATCCTGTAGCGAACCACGTGGATCCGGATCCCACGGCGACCCCGAACCCGTGAGGAACCACATCCGCCGGCGTTGGAGATGACGTCATGTCGTTCGCGCCAAAAAAAAACATTGGTCTCTCTCGCCTCGGGCAATTAAAAGGACTGGAACAAACTGGGTGCGGAGGCGCAACACGATTGCAACAACAACAACAAAATCGCGCGCGTTGTCGTTATTGTCGTTGTGGGAGTCTCGCTGCCACCCATTGACTGTGATGACGTCACTCGGCGCGGGCTGTCCGGTCGGATGACGTCACGTTCAGTGACGTAGCCGCACGCGGGGCTTTGGGGACGTCACTCGGCGCGGTTGTGTGTGGGGGGGGGGGATGACGTCACGTCGCCCTTTGCTAGCTGTGTTCCCACCGGAGACTTGTGTTGCCTCCGAAACGTCGTGATCTTTATTTTATTTTTATTAATTTTGATGTTTTACCTACGTGACTTTACCGAAAAAACCTAAGATTATGTGTTCCCACCGTCGCTGATGTGAAGGAGAGACAAACGCGACACGCAAGAGACCTTCCAACGCCACGTTCACGTCGCGAAACTCCCTCGGGAGTTGTAAGGCGCGCGAGGGAAAAGCGCGGGAATGTGGAGCGCGTCTCGCGCGGTCGCGCGCGCCCTGGGTGCGAGGAGCCTCGCTCAGGTCGGTGAAGTGCGCGTGCGGTCGCCATCTTTGTAAGGGGTAGAGGGGGCGCCATCTTTGTAAGGGGTGTTTCTGTGAGGGACGCCATCTTTGTGGGGGATGTGCTTTCATCATTTTTGTGCGGGGTATGGGCTCCCTCTTTGAAGGAGACGTAGATGTGCGGGTCGCCATCTTTCTAAGGGGTTTAGGACGTCTTTGTAGGGGACATAGACGCGAGTCTTGCCATCTTTGTAGGAGACGTTGACGTGCGGGCCGCCATCTTTGTAGGGGGCGTTGGCGTGCGGGCCGCCATCTTTGTAGGGGGTGTGAGTGGCGCCATTTTTGTAGAGGACGTTGACGTGCGGGCCGCCATCTTTGTAGGAGGCGTTGGCGTGCGGGCCGCCATCTTTGTAGGAGGCGTTGGCGTGCGGGTCGCCATCTTTGTAGGAGGCGTTGGCGTGCGGGCCGCCATCTTTGTAGGAGACGTTGACGTGCGGGTCGCCATCTTTGTAGGAGGCGTTGGCGTGCGGGCCGCCATCTTTGTAGGGGACGTTGACGTGCGGGCCGCCATCTTTGTAGGGGGCGTTGGCGTGCGGGTCGCCATCTTTGTAGGAGGCGTTGGCGTGCGGGCCGCCATCTTTGTAGGAGACGTTGACGTGCGGGTCGCCATCTTTGTAGGGGGCGTTGGCGTGCGGGTCGCCATCTTTGTAGGAGGCGTTGGCGTGCGGGCCGCCATCTTTGTAGGAGACGTTGACGTGCGGGCCGCCATCTTTGTAGGGGGCGTTGGCGTGCGGGTCGCCATCTTTGTAGGAGGCGTTGGCGTGCGGGCCGCCATCTTTGTAGGAGACGTTGACGTGCCGGCCGCCATCTTTGTAGGGGGCGTTGGCGTGCGGGCCGCCATCTTTGTAGGGGGTGTGAGTGGCGCCATTTTTGTAGAGGACGTTGACGTGCGGGTCGCCATCTTTGTAGGAGGCGTTGGCGTGCGGGCCGCCATCTTTGTAGGGGGTGTGAGTGGCGCCATCTTTGTAGAGGACATTGACGTGCGGGTCGCCATCTTTGTAGAGGACATGTCAGCATCTTTGTTAAGACTGCAGGAGGAAGGAATCCGATGAGCTATGAAGCTCTTCTTCACAGATGTCCAGTATGGGGGGGGGGGGTCAGCAGGTTACAACAGCAAACAATACAAAACACGATATGAGCGCGAAGTACAGAAAATGGTAAGCAAGTCACGAAATATCATATAAGTCATTTTTTAAAAATCTAACTTGGGCAACAAAAACATTTAAAACCTGCGCTGTGAACTGGGCTACCTGCGTTCCGATTCCCAGCCACGGCGAAACATCGGTGCCATAAAATGAAATAAATATATAACAGGCGACATTTCGGGCAAATAGTATGTCCAAGTGTCTCCTCTGTAGTTACCCTGTCTCCTCCCCGCGTCCACTTTTGCCTCCGTGTCCACTGGACGTCTGTGAAAAAAGAGCTTCATAGCTCATCGGATTTCCGGAGTATGGGGCCGTCCATAAATGACGTCACGCGATTTTGGCCGATTTTTTACCCCCCCTCCCCCCCTCGTCACACGGCGTCACAAAAAGTCATACCCCCCTCAAAAATGACGTCACAAAGCTCTGCCCCCCCCCCCCCGCAAAAAAAACTATAATTCCATTTTTTAAATAAAACATGCTTCAAATCACTTTAAACTATTGTCACTGTAGTGCGTATTTAATGTGGCGCTGCACTCTGATGTAGGAGAAAACATTAAAAAGGAGGCGTTGGAAAGCTGAAATTTAGCATAAAATTCACTTGAAAATATTCAACGTCTAAAACTGCAGATGTTCAGAATATTATATTGAAATTCTCTTATAATTATAAAATATTAAAAGTAATTATAACTATAAAAAAGAATACTTGAAACTTTGTTGTAGAACGAAGCAAAATGGAGAGTACAATTATAACAATCACATATCTTCTTAGTTTTTTCGGTAAAGTCACGTAGAAGGGAAGTAATAAAATAATAAAAAGAAAACATAATAAAATAATTCTCACGACGTTTCGGCTACAACGCAAGCAGCCGTCTTCAGGTGAAGAATGAGACACTGCCAAGCTAGGAGCTTATATATAAGCTGAGTTGGAGGTGGAAGAAGAGCGCCTTAACAAAAGAATGTGCACATCAAGAGGAATTTAGCATATTCATGGCAAATGCGTAGGAGGTGGGCGGGGGGGTTTCAAAGTCATATTATGCCCATGCATTATGCAGGATCAGCAGCACCAAAGGGAGGGGGCAGGGGGTAGCATTAACAAAGGGAGGGAATGTTAATAGTATGTAGAAGCAATGAAACATGTGAACGTTGTAGCCGAAACGTCGTGAGAATTATTTTATTATGTTTTATTTGTATTATTTTATTACTTCCCTTCTACGTGACTTTACCGAAAAAACCAAGAAGATGAATCCCTGCAGTCACGAAAGCTTTAAATCGAAACAATCACATATTCATTCCACAGAATGAAAAGCCCTGATAGAATCATTAGAATCAAAATGTTTAATAACAATCATTCAAAAAAAATGTACAAAATGTCTGCTTCTCCATTCTCCCATGGAGAAGCGAAATGCTCCTTCATGGAATAAATTAAAGGTGACCTTAGTAAATTTAAATAATGAAATAGTTAATAATGAAAATTAATAAAAAAAGTAGTGTTATAACAATTCTCTCCCTCTCGTCACAAATGTCTGACCCCCCCCCCCCCCCCCTCGGTGCGTGACGTCATCTATGGACGGCCCCTAAAAATCAATGTTCTGGTTCTGTGATTTGTGTGCCCCCACGAACTCCCCGTGTTGTGCCCGTGTCATCCATAGGTCACCGACCACCAGCGGGAGCTGCAGGCGCGCGGCCTACCCCGGAGGCGCGCGGTGCCCGGGGTTAAACGCGTGCTGTGCGTGGCGTCCGGCAAGGGCGGCGTGGGCAAGTCCACGCTGGCCAGTACGCGGTCTCTCGCACGGTCACAGTGTGCCTGCGCACCAGGCGTTCTTCGTGGCAAGGCCTTCGCGGGGCCACTGACTTAAAATCAGAAAGGGTTTTATTCGCCATGAAAGTTCGCACAGACAAGGAATTTACTTTGGCCGGATGGTGCATACATTCAACATTTAGGAATCTTAAATCTTAAATAAGTGGTTTACAAATCTAACTATACTAAAGGTACAAGTCTAACTAATACTAAGGAGCTAAAGTATGTAAAAATTGAATAAAATAAAATCTAAAATATGCAATAGCTATAATATACAATATAAAATTACAAAAATGCAAATAGGGTAACATAGTGCAAATATGGCAGGGTGTAATTGTGCAGATATTGTGTTAAAGTCAGTTTGAGCGTTAAAGTCAAGAGTTATAAATGCCCTGATTGGTGCATTGTCTCCATGCTGTTCGCCTTTTGGAGACTAGGCTCAAAAGAAAGCTGTCTCTGGTGTGGACCAATCCATTTTAAAGACAATGTACATAGTATCAGAGCATGTTTTTTTTTGTTCGCATGTTCACCACAAGTACGTGTGGTTAATTCAGACAGGATTCCTTGAAAAAGGATTCTGTTTTGTGTTTTAACATCTTCTAACACCTGTTTTATTGCCAGTAAGGGTACAACATATTGTTATATTTTATATTGGCAAGAAGGGTCCCATATTGAATACACAACATGTGAAAACACCCCAGTGGTTTTAAAATATGTGGCGGCCCTCACACTGAAAATTAGTGAAGAACAATGCTGTACACCAACAACAACAACAGGCTCAGTTCGCCGCTAAGTGACGGTGATGTCACCACAGATTGTGCCAGGCTAGGTGCACTTTGTCTCCCCCAGTGCTTGTGTTTGAACACCACAAATATTCGCCATTGTTATTGGTCGTGAGCAGGTCGCTGGGTTTGTAGCATGGTGCACTAGCCACTACACTACCGCTCCCATACATACGCACATACGCACACATAACAAGACCCGCCGTTCGCCGCTAAGTGGCAGTGAATTCACGGCACCCGTGCCAGGCCAGGTGCACTTTGAGGTCATGTGACGTTGTCGAAAGCTCGCTGACAGGAGGTCACAGGGACAGAAGCCAG